CAAAATATCACTGCCACCCTGAATGCCTGGCAGGCGCCGTCCAAGGACGACAAAGTCTATGAACGCCCTGACATGGTCGCCCTGTCGTGACCCGCGGATCCAAGGGAGAGGACGTACAAGTCGCTCGGCCAACACTTGCAAGCCATTCAGGAAACATCGCCGAGCCAATCACTCATTCGAGGCCAGCAAACTCCAAGCACAGCCGTAAACCCTCGAGTGAGATGAATAGGTTTCCGGGGCCGGAGCACCCTAGGACACGTGAAGGGTTGAAGGACAAGAAAAGGGGCAGTGTCCCTTTTCCCTAATCCCTACGCCCTGCGATCTCACACAAAACAGCCATTCAAGCGATTCGCTCTGACGCCTTCGAAAAGAAACTAAAAAGACAATATTCTGGCCTTGAATGGACTCCAAGGCGATCCGACCGAAATGCGGTGGACAGAGCGACCACCGATGTCGCACGGATTGTGGTCACGCGCATGTGGCGCAAGCAAGAGAAAGGAGGCTCAAGGCCGCATGCACATTCCGCCCTACCTAGGTAGATCACAGCGTCACGTGTGTGATGATCTTCATGCTCAAAAGTGCAGTTTCGAACGTCTAGGGACCGGGAGTTGAGTGCTGACGTAGCGGCCGGGCGACTCGGTGGCAATAATGATAACTTCGGTCCGAACCCTGCCCAGATTCTGTCCACAATCCACGGGCTCGGGAATGAAGGCCAGAGCCGATTCTGGTAAGCTTCAACAGAAATTGGATATTCAAAAGAAGCAGGTCATGCCGACACAAGAAAGCAAAGAGATTAGGAAGGTTGGCTTCCAATTGCTCGGGCGCCGTTTTGATGACGCTGTAGAAGAGGTATACGCTGTGCAAATGAAATCCATGCTGGTAAAGAACGACTATGACCCAAGGAAATTTCGCAGGGTGGCCTGCTGACAATAGGAAATCTAAAAAATGCACCCGAGAACAAAGAAACCCATGAATGATCAAACTGACTGCACCTCCACCCATCCTATGAGCCTCCAGACATGTCCAAGGTCACTAGCCAGAAAGCAGAAGTTAGTGGACTTCATTGATAACGCCAAATCCAGCAAGCCATGCCTACCTTGGAGAGTTTACCGGCCGGTGACGGGGCCGGTGGTATTGTAAACATGGCAATAAGTACATCGTTGATGGTCGCAGGTGGTGCACACCGGAGTTGTACTGTATAGCATGGCTCCCGCTCCACAGTAGCACTGCAATCATGCGTGAGATTAGCACTACAGTTGTGAACACACATCTCCCAGCTGATGAGTTCAACTCACACAGGTCCAAACCATCACGGTACTCCTAGCAGGGCGGCGGCTGTGTGAAGGCATATTGATCGAGTACTTGAAAGGCTTCGAAGCGTTGGAGCTTTGAAAGATGGTATTTGAATGGGGAATGTTGTCGATGTTGTGGATGATATCGAGTCCATCATGACCACCAGGCTGGAAGGACAACCAACTCTTTATACTCTGATCGAGGAGCTCAATATCATATGGGTATTCAGCGACGAGACAGCCTAGACGTCCCAAGGGATACCAAAGGTCGACATCGCCACTTTGCTCGCCTTTGCCGGTGACAGGGTGTAGTTTCTTTCCAAGGGAACGAATCCCCAAGCCCCTCACCCCCACCCTTTGAGATGTCTCTCCCAAGGCACAAGGCCGCTGTCAAAGAAGTAGCACACCAGGTAAAGGTACCAAGGCATCAACATCGAGTGAGCATGTCTGCAGGTGGGGGAGTCAGCGCCGCCATCCCGAGAAAGTCCCAAGGGTATACCGAGTCGGCACCATCCTATGCATGGCAAGTGGGTTGTACCGAGATATGTTTCTAGAAGGGCCAGGTACCAGCATAGTCGATCCTTCTGTGTGTTCCCTGCCACCCTTTCCATCAGGTCCACCACAAGGAACAGACAAAGCCACCGCGAGACCCACTCGGGGTTGTCGAGAAGACAGAATATAGATGCCTGAACCATAGGAAAACAGCCCGCGAGGGCGTAGAATGATGCCTCCTGGTCTGATCGGCATGATGTGCCGTCAAGCCTGGGGGCGGTCGCCGTTTGAAAAGGATGGGATGTGATTAACTAAGCTCAGCCCCCACAGCTTTGATATCGAGGAAACGCAGAGAGAATATGGCGATTATTCAGCGTTCACACCGAAACACCTGGGTGTCTTGGTGTCCTGGGACGTGAGGTCGGGACCGACGGAGCCACCCAGAGCCGTGAAGGCGTAGGATTCCAGCTGCTGACGAGCCCACTTGACCGAGCCCTACCCTCACCACCATGGGATACCGGTCTGTAAGTCGAGACTGTCAAACCACGGTGCAGGTTACGACCGTCTCTGCCTGGCAACTGCCTCTCTATCGCCACTGTAGTGCACACTAGTCGATGCTGCGGCGGGAGCACAGGATGCCTGCTGGCTGTCGTCTTCTCATGGGGCGCCGTTGCCCACCCACCACATGTAACCTCGTCCTGTCCTTGATGGAAGCCACCCGCGCTATCGTCGATGAAGGCTGTATCTCCGTGAGGGGTGAGCAACCAAGGTCTCGAATATGGGCTGCCGAGGTTCGTGGCGAGAAACGCCCTTGAATCCTGCTGGTTACCGTGCCGACTAGGTGATTTTTTGAAATTCCGCCTAGGCAGTGTAGATCCGGCGGTGTCGAGAATCGTGTGTTGTGCCACCCCCAAGTGCTGCCACCATTGACACGAGAGAATGTCGACAGCAGATGGCCTTCACAACGGCCTAGTCCAACCGCCTAGTGTCCTCGGCTAACCACCGAGTACTGTGCCGTGTTATTGGCCTATCCATTTCACGTCAAGCCGGGCAGGAGCTCTCGGAAGACTATCCTCTGATTCGGGCCCGGTTGCTGACTCTTTGCACTCCCCGGACTGAAGGAAAGAGATGCGCATTACAAAAATATACCATACAACGCTGCTGCGCGACGTGTCATCCCTCATAAGATGAAACTCGCCCCATCTGAATGCGGTTCTGTGCCTAATTATAAGAGTCTGATAATGATAAGAGTCTGTCTGACTTGAGGACTGGTGCGCCGGGTGAGCAACGGCCCCCACGGTCATAAGTGCAGCACTGCTCAGCTCTTCAGCTGGTTCAGCCTCAGCCCAGTAGGGCTGGCCGACCCTGGTCGATCTCGGTGCCGTCTGGGACCTTGACAAGACCAGCTTGTCCAGATGTGGACTGCTGCAACGATTCCTGGGGCGAAACAGGCCCAAAAAGGACTTGCTGGTTGTGCCGGGCCTTTTTGTCACGCATCCAAGCATGTGAGCTCACTTCCCCTGAACGATGAAAAAGTGCTGCCAAGCAGCGTGGCAAAAGACAGCGCAAGGAGAGAAGAAGAAGAGGGCAGAGCAGTCTGAGCCACTGGCCGCAATCATCACCATTGAGAAAAGGCACCGAAAGAAAACGCGACTGCTCTGTGCCGCATGGATTTTCCATCCTGGAGACCACATATGCAGGCTGTGAGCCACTCGACTCGCAAACACATGCATCATTTCTCGATGGAAGTTTCAGAGGATGAGTCCCATCAAATCTGTCGCGTGCTAGAAGATATCGAATTGAAAACATCACCACCGTGTTCATACTCGAAGGCGGCTCGCCTCCGGGTTGCGTCCTTGTGGCAAGCAAAACGACACAGTGAGCGGAGAGGGGCCTCTTCTTCAGCTCTCCCACGCGCTCAATCCTGCAAAACTAGAGCAGTTGGACCGAATGCTAGCTGCATCACCACTTGGGAATGAATGCACTGACGGAAAGGCGAACCTCGCGAGATAGAATCCGGTGCTGGCCAGGACACGCCGCCAGCGATTTCGCGATTCGTGGACCGACTCAGCCCTGTGCCGGCTTCCAGGCTGCACGAGACCCGTCAGGTCAGGTCTGCTCGAAAGGCTCTTGATTGCGTTCTGTCCGCGTCCTTGCAACAGGCGACAGCAAAACCCTCTGGTATGCGTTACATTGGATGGAGCTCGGGGGCCTCGTCGTGAAGGCAGCAGCTGAAAGTAGCCGTAGAGACAAAAGCCAGGCAGACACCAGACAATGGAAACAATGTCCACGGTCGATTGAACTGGCGTTGACTGAAGCCCCGGCAGCGTGGCCTGGTTCTGAATGCGCATGACTGGCGGCGCATGGCGCCATGGGTTAGGGTCCGTCTTCCATTAATAGCGTGTGGGAACAATGGTGAGTTATCGCGCGCCAACGTGTCCCATGCTTGAAGGGAAAACAGACGGCGCTTGGAGAGGGAGATTGGATCTCGAAACAGTGTTGCAGTGTGGAGATGAAGGCCAAATTGGCCCGCACGGCAGTCGAGGCCAGCAGTTCAGGTGGAGGCACCGGTTCATCCAATACTCCCTAGCGCCCGGCTGGTTTCTTCACACAGGCCTGACAGGGTTCACGTACAGTGGGCGCTATCGCTGGACTGGGAGACGATGACAGGGAGGCTTGACCCAGCGGCGTCTCTGATTGGAAGGGGCTCCCAGCGGCCTTCCATTCTAGCACAAGCCCCCACGTCATCGCTGTCCATCGCGTGCCTTGCAAGCAAGGTACGACGGCATCATCTTAAGCTACTTGCTGCTTTGAGCCAGACTTGGATCAACATGTTCTCATTCCAAGACCTTTCTTTTTCTCTGTCGCATTGATTTACATATCTTTCTGTCGTTCGCCAACTCAAGTGACTCTCTGCCAGTCACTCATACACAAGCATACATAATTCTGACCCAGTCACCGTCTTGGACCGCTACTTCAAATAGGCGACACTCTCCCAACAAACAACAGGACGGCAGAGCTCTGACGTACGAGTCGACCCCGACCTACGACAGTCCGGCATCACGACATCGCGAAATCGCTGCAGCTTCCATCTTTTCACGTGCCAATACGAACAGATTTCTCGGGAAGTGACACCGAAACGGCGACACCAATAGCTCCGACGTCACGCGAAACAATAATTACAGCCAAGCAACACAACGCAAACAACTGCCCAAGATGGGTCTGATTTCTGCCGGTCTCTCATACCTCGTCTTCTCCGCCATCCACATCGTCCAGTTCGCCCTCGCTATCACCGTGTGCGCGCTGTACGGAATCGACCTGAGCCGCGCCAACAAGCAAGGCACATACATCGACAGCAAATGGGTCTACGCAGAGGTGGTCGGCGGCCTGTCCGCCTTCACAGCGGTGCTGTACCTGGTGCCTTTCATCCTGCGCTTCTGGCTCGTGTGGGCGTGGAACCTGGTCCTCTTCATTCTGTGGATCGCGCTCTTCGGAGTCTTTGGAAAGATGTACATCAATGAGGACGCCGAGGGCGACAGCGGCGTGCAGCGCATGAAGAACGCCGTCTGGGTCGACCTCGCCAATGCCATCCTGTGGTTCCTCACCTTTGTCGGCGCTGCCGCCTACTGGTTCACCCACCGCGAGAGACACAGCCGCTTCACCGGTCGCGCCAGGGTCTAGTGGCCTCCCAGCGAGACGGGAGAGCGCATTAGTAACGTCGAGGCGCACCCTTTTGGCACGCTGCCGCCCCGGCACTGCGAGAGCCGCCAGAGCGCTATCCGCCACCGCAAACGATCCGCCGAGATGGAGAGGGGGATGAGGATAAACGGAGGGAACCCGGAGGGCCTGAAGCATCGAACTCCTCTTCTCAGTTCAGCTTTTGGATGATGGGTTTTTGGAATATGTGTTCCTCGTGGGCCATAGTTTAATAGCGATGGTGCCTGATGATTGATTGATACCATGCCCTCGGTTCGGGGGATCAGCGTTTGATTTCTTCTCTCTGCAAAGATATCCAGATACCACCAAACGGATTAATACTTGTGTTCGTTTTCAACGCTGAAAGTCCTGAGCTGCGTGTGACTGTGCGGCGTTGTGTTCCTCGCTGGACAGGCGTCTTGACCGAGATGATCTGATTCCTCAGCAAACCAGGTGCCAGACACCATATCGGCCCTAGATTGTGTAATTCTCGATTCGTGGCAACATGCTGGCGGTTTAGAAAGTTCTGACTCGCAGAGCCCAGCATCCCGTCTGAGCAGGCAACAATTTGTGCGACAACTGGTCAGATCGAAGCTTGTGAAAAGATCATCGCCCGTTTTGTTTTTCATCAGACTTATCTATTGATCGACAGATCCTTCGACAGAGACGCAGCGCCTCGTCAATCCCGGCCCAACCCACGCGTGGTGAGCAGGGTGTGCGGCTGTCTACGCGGCCTCCCATCCATCTGCCGGACGATGGTAGTAGATCTTTACTCACTCGGTCAACAGACAAATCTGCAACTCTTGATCAACATTCTCCAGGGTCCTCGAGGTATTCCTGCCCAACACCGTACTGCCAGAACTGCTCCTTGCGAGCACCTGTTGACAGTCCTTGCTCGCTCAGCGTCGCATGACGTCACCGCACAGATTGTCCCATTCAATGAGGCCCCATGCTCCTCTTCCCATGGCGCCCAGCCGCAAAAGCTTTTACGAACACCTGGGGAGGAGAAGGGGCAAGCCCCCACACGCTTGTGACGACCCCATGGTTACTGGTATATCCGTTGTCACTTCTCACCTTTTTCTGTCTCTTCTGCGGGAACCAATTCTCGGCACTTGACGCGCCTTTTTCTCGTTGGCGAGACGGGCCAGTCGCGAGACGAGGTTGGGACACGTCTGTACACCCCCGAAGCACGGTTGCCTCTTTCACAATCTGGTTGGGGCGGAAATGGCGATCCGAGACATTGGATTCCTGCCGCGTGGACAAAAACAACGTGAGGGAAAAGAGAGAAAATTGGGAACCCTCCAGAGACTGGAACCAGAGGCTGGAAATGCAACTCCTCACCCCACGGTAGCTGGGCCATCCCACGCTTCTGCAAGCGACCCCCCTACAAGCGATCTGCGCTGAAACAAAACGGTAGCCTGGCTTCACAAAAATAAACCCACCGCGTGCCGCGGCCGGGGGAAACATTGGGGCCCGAAAGGCTCACTGTTTTGTTGTTCTTCTGGGGCAGCAACGACATCCGCCGATGGGCGGCTGGTTGGCTGGCGGCACGCGGCCGTCGTCTTCTCCACCCGTGGTGGATTGTCTGCATAACCGGTCGGTCGGTCGGTCGGCCTTGTCCTGGGCGGCTTGCTTTTTTGCCCTCCCAGGCCTTGCTCGTTGTCCCTGTTGGGGGGGGGGGGGTTGGCCTTCTCGCTCCGCTCATGTGTTACTCGCTGCCTCCGTTCCAGCGGGTTTGTCACTTATTGGTCTCGGGGTCTGCTTGCGGCGCCGTGTCTTGGATTTTTTCAGGGTCTTTCCGCCCTCCCTGTCCTGTGCCCAATAGACCGCTCGTCCCATATCAAGTTTGGCTTATTCGGCGGGCAAAAGGCGGGAATGTCCTTGTGGTAGGGTACGGTGGCTTGGTGTGGGTTTTGGTTGGTGGCGCCCGAGCCACAAGGCGACCGTTCCCAACACAGCGACCCGTGGAGCTGATAGGAGATGGTGAGATCGGCCTGCTGGGCGTCCCGCTAGCATCGACAATCATGCCATCCCTTGGCCCCTCAAGGGTCCTCCTAGCCCGTCGGGTACGTGCTCCATCGCACTCCCACCCTTGTTAGTGGCGCCTGTGTGTCTTGGTTCGGCTCCGGTGCCAAGAAAATCCTTGTAAGCGCCAGGAAGGTCGCCGTCATACCAACCCATTGGGACCTTTCTGGGTCAAGGGGATATTTGAATTTGCTCTGGCGGTCGACCGCAAAGGTCGAGGCTTTGTTGACCCGCCCGGCCAGCCGACCTACTCGTCGACGACTTTCTAGAAGGGTTTCCGTCTGGGCAGGGAGTAAGGGCGGTCGTCGAGTGTTGGTCACAGCCTGACTGTTTCAACTTCCGACAGGTGCTAGCGCGGACCAGGAGTGATGATGGAAATGTGACGTGCTGATCTCTGTCTGGGAGCTGTCGGCGCTCATTATACTGTTCTGGTAAAGATGTGCTGCCCTTTAGCGCGTGGGGCATGGGAAGAGGACATGCAAGCCTGGGCAGACAGACAGAGAGGGTGTGGCTCACAGAGGCTCAGCAGAAAGGCAGGGTCCTATTGATGTTTCTTTCAGCCTCCAATAACCGCTTCCACAATTGGAAAGATCCTCTGGGGAAAGCCGACGACTGGCCCTGATGACGACCTCAGGCAGCGTAAATGGTCCGCTGGCGACCACAGGACTGCTTCTGGCTTTTTCCCGGGGAGCTGCGTAGGTGGCCATCCGCAGCGACTGTGTCTCGGATTTGACATGCGTTGAGGAGCTGTAGGTGGCCGGAAGGGGGCGCCTGCATTGCATCTGCGGTCCGCGGTAGCGTTTGGATCCTCCTCGTCTCCCCCATGTTCGGTTGAGGAGGGGGTTGATCGTAAACTGTTGCATCTGTCCATTTTTGCCGCTGATGATGATGGCCTCGGGTGCGCGTGAAGGTTCAGGCAGAGGCCATGATCTTAAACATTTGAGGGCCCACGTCTCCCGCGATGATGGCGCCAGACGTTGCCTTCTCCTCTTGAGGTTCGAAATTAGCTCTAAGGAGTCCCCACTGCTCTCATAACATGATCAGATGTGTTTTGAAGCTCTCCTTACGTCTTAGTCAGGCACACGGACACCCCATTGTCCCCTCATCCTTCGTCTCCTGTGCTTGTGTATCTGAAGCCGACTCAACTCTTCCACTCTGAAGCCTGATCGTAGCTTCAGTTCCCGGCCGACTTGGAAGCACTGAAGTACCTACCCAGGTACGCAAGTACTCAGACACTACAGGGCGGTGCCTAGGTACTTATTAGTGTCGGGGACGACCCACCGATGTGATGGGAAGGAGGGGACGGGCGACGGTCGGTACGTACCCTCACCCCGTATTTATTGGAAGGTGACTTCTCTTTTCATCGCTCTGCCCAGCTTCCCACCAGTAGCAGTACCCACCAAAACAGCGGCCTGTTGGTACAAGTACTGATTCAGTCCAAGGCCGCACTTTTCTCTCGACGCTCCAATGCGAATCAAAACCCACGACCACGACAAACACCATCGAACACGATCACATCAGGGAAAGGAAATACCCACTGCAGATTCAGAATCTTCCGAGATACGACCCATAACTGCGGAACCTTTGCGGATAATAAATGGGCCTGGGTCACAGCGGGCCGAATCGAAGATCTCCTTCTGAACCACCTGCGCCCGCCATTCGAGCTGCGAACTGAAGATTGAGGTCCTGAAGCACAGAAGAACAGGAGACCAAGGACTTCTGCACCACACCTCGACTATCGTCACCACGCCCCAGCCGCCCACAGTATCCTGTGCTCCTCAGGATATCTCCTCTGTCAGCTGGGCCTTGCCGGCGATCCCACCCCCGAATCGTGGTCCGCTTAATCCCAGCCTGTCTCGTGTGGAATGCATATCCGTCACTGTCAACCTTGCGCACTGGGAAACGACGCAGCCAAGCTGTTCAGGTGGCTCCGAGAAGACCTTGTCGACGTGCAAGCTGGATGAGCCCCGAAGTCTCGGCCGAAGCGTGACTCCTGCCCCAGATTACAGAGTTCCGGTTGGTGAAGCTAGGCTCTTTCCTGCGCGGTAAGCAGTCTGTCTCGTTTTCACCACTCGACCTCCTATCGTTCTCGTCTAGAAAATGTCCATGCTGCGGTGGCGAAGCAACCCACGAAGTGAGGGAGATCGTCAGACCTATCTTTCGGTCAGCAAGTTTGCAATCTCAACGACGCCGACGTTCGTGCTCGCTCGTCCAGGGACGGTCATCTGTGACCCCGGCAAGACCAATCGTCGATTGGTGCAGCGGTTTTCGGAATATCGCCGACGTTGGTAGCGGCTGAAGCTTAAATTGAGCTCCACAGCACGAACACTGTCACCCTCCGCTACCGTGGGATCGTGGCAGGTCGGGCACGTGCAGCTCTGCAGCACTACAGGATCCCCAGACTCTTGAACAAACTCTATTCCGTGTCCCTCCCCCGGCCTCGCCCTTCCGGCGCATTGATCGCTTCGCCTTGCAATCGGGCAAGATCGAAGTCCAAAGAGATCGAGATAGGCTAACTCGATTTCAACTGCAGCGTCTAGAATCCTATCGGGAGACTGGAGCAGCCCGTCTGCCGCGTTTGGACGAGGCCAAGGCAATCATTCCGACGGGCGTGCGTCTCTGGAGCTTCCGGCAGATAGGATCGTTCTTTGCCACAATGTCGGACATAAACCAGGCCGGCCGCCCATCGGCCATGAAACCACTGTCCTACACGTCCCACGCGGCCCAAGGACAGAGACCTCGCGGACGAACCGGCTCGAACTCGTCAGCGTCTTCCGCCGCATCGGCCACCAGCGCCAAAAGCCACGACCAGTTCGTCTTCTCACCACACCAGACTCCCGCCTCTGAAAAGGAGCCCTTCTTCTCGCATCAGGAGTATTCTAGTCTTCACAATCCCCAAACACACAGTAAGTATAAATCCCATTCCTTTTGAGTCTCGTCAAAACATCATCACCCAACAACGCCTTGTATGAAGCCCGGCGTTGGATCAGAGGACGTTGGTTTGGCGCGCTTTACGGCAGCATTGCCGCGACTGCCATTACAAGCGCCCGTCACCATGATGGCTCCCAAGTGGTCGTACCGAAGATCATTGGTCCGACTGTAATGGCCTCTTCGTACAACTGTCGAGGAGTGCGATTCTGTCCAACCATATTCATGGCGTGCTTGGTAGCGGCACGGCGGGTCTGGCACCGGCAGGCTTTGGCGAGTTTCACACCTCGAGATGTGGTCGCCTGCGTGCCAGCGGCATCACATGAAGATCATCACCACCACACCAATCCCGTCAGGGTCCTGGATACATGCCGGCCACGTCTTCGTCACAATACAACGGCGATTCAGGGTAGTGCCCCCGTGAGCTCCACAGGCGATTCGGGGTCACAGTTGGGAGAGCGCCATTCCCGCCGAGGGGTGTCTCGGGAGGCTGGTCCCGCACTGCTCCCGTGGCAGGACAGGGGATCGTGGACTTTCGCGGCAAGGGCGTCAGCAACAACGAACACCGCATTGCGGCCCATGCGGTCCATCCGGCAAGTGGCCTGCAGGACGTCATCACAAAACAAAGTCCGCCCAGCGATGCCCACATTCGCGCCATCGGATGACCAAAATCCTTCATGCATTTCCTGCATTCACACCAAGCACTTCATGCACCTGCACACAGTAACAACTGGCTGACACCGCCCTCTTTCTTCTTTATGTAGACATCCCCTCGCAACCTCCTCACAGTACTTTAACCTCGCGGTTCTCCTCGGACTCGACAAGTTCCACCACTCCACACAGCCGACCTATCGTGATCGAACTACCCTCGTCGGCGTCAAAAAAGTCCAAGACCAGCTCGACCTACACACCAATTCCGCCTCTCTCTGCTCGAGGTGACATATCAGGGTATGTTCTCCACTCAGTCCCTTCCCCCGCCTGCGGCTCCACGAGTCGTAGAGGCGTGGGTAGGCGGCACGGGACGATAGTGAGGGGTTGACACTGACGATCACTTACGTGCAGCGGCTACTTTCCATTCCACGAAGATCCCGAAGACCGCATCCACAGACCCCATCCATTCCACACCGCTGAAAAAGAGGCGCAACGAGACTGCGATATCGAGAGCCTCGCCCGGAGCATCGAAAGTACTCAGGGTGCTCCTTCGTCTGCCCCAGAACCTCGCGCTCCCTCAGCGCCGACCCCAATCTCCACACCACCTGGGCAGTTCCCCATGCTACAGGCTGCCAAAATGCCTTCGTCGCGAGGACACACGCCTGTCACCTCCTACGTGCCAAGCGGCCTGCACGAGACGCCCTTGCCTGTCGGCAAGTACTATCCCTCGAACTACGAGCACCGACAGAAGCAGTCCCACCACTCGTCAAGAAGTAGTACACGGCCGTCCTCTGCCGTCGGCCCTTCGTCTGTCAAGTCCGACACTGTTGTGCCGCAGATCAATAGGACTGACCCACGCGGGCGCCCCGACTCGGAGGCCAAAATGCGATTACTACAATACCAGCGCGACATGATCACGCAAGCCCAGCTTGCCAAACAACGTTTAGAGGATGGAGGCTCGTCCTCATATCCGGCCGCGACGGGCCGCCATGGGGCTCCTTCGCATAGGAAGAGCAGCGCCCCAAGAGGGCCCATATCGCCAAGGCTGCAACCGCTGGGCAGCCCCGGACCGGTGACACCCTTGGCGTTAGAGGGCGCTGATGGTTACCTTTCGGCTCGGAGTCGGGCCAGCCCTCGGGACAGGCCGAGGCCAGTGCCAAGCCCGGACGCTGGGCGAGAGAGCCACGCGGTCGCCAGGGCGATGAAGGCACACGGCGAAAGGCGACGCAGGGAGGGCCGGTGCTCGCCAGCCGTCGAGGCGGGAGGGTTTGGATTTTGAGACTCGTCTCCGCTGTTGAACCTTTAACAAGTCTTTCATTAACCATCCACAGTCCGCCGACGGCATCGACGGACGGCCCGGTGTTCGCCGGATAGGACGGTCATCTGCGAACGTCACGCACACTCGTCGCCCTCGCGTTACACCATTTGAGAGTACAATGCGGTGCGGCGATCCACTCCTCGGCCGGCAGACTCTTTTTTGTACGACTCCCGATGTTATGTGCAAAATTCGCCACTCAGCCATACCAGAGAATCGTTGGATGGCCCCTGGCTGGCACCTTTCATTTTCAAGCCAGTAGGACTATTTGACATTTGATACCCTCACAGCGCTTGGACCCAGGATAGACAGCATTCTTAACACTCACTCCAAGCAACGCGAGTGGTCTTGTTTTTGATAGATTGCATTGGGTCGGGAGCATTTCTATTTCTATGGATGCTTGGTAGCAGGCACGGTGGGAACACCCCAGTTCCTGGCTCCTGACGAGAGCGCCGTCGTCATTCGTTGGGTGGAAGGGAGGGCATGGTAGCGGGAACCAGGGCTTTGAAAAGTCAGCGGTCAACTTGTTTATCGAGGGCGGGGCGGTTTGCGTTGGCACAAGTAGAATTCGTGAAAGAATTTACCCCGTCATAACGATGTCATGGGCTCTCGAAGAGCAGAGCCTGCACAACAAAAGAAGAAAAAAAAATAAGAATTTCATCCACGAAACCAGGAACTTGCTCATTCTCTAGATATACCATCCCCGTCCCGTGAGTTAACATGCCAAAGATGGAAAGACTTGGTAGACGCGGACTAGGGCGCGCACGCGCAGGCGGGCTTTCAGATCCACCGCTTGTGTTCCGGCATAGGAGTAATCCATCTGGTCACCGTGCGATCTCACAACATGGCATCCATGTTCATGGGTGGCGTGATTGATATTTATTGCTATGCATACAACATAAGAAACAATTGAATCATTTACTGTGTGCTTCATGCCCCTGTTTAACCGGCCAAGATGTTCATAACAATACACGAGGTCGTTTCCATCAATGATCCTCATTTCCTGAAGATGTACATGGACCTTGATTTCTCTCATGCAGCCGGCTCAGTAATGAATTCTTTTCTTTTCTTTTCTTGCTTGAAGCTGCCTCCAGGACCGAAATGGGGGTATTAAGAAGTTATATGGTCTCCGACTACCGGACCCATCTTCACCTGGAGCGCGTCGCACGTCATCAAACTCATCCGTGTCCCCGATGTAGTCGAACCCATGGAGTATGTCGGTGGCGTGGAAGGTACCAAGTATCGGTGTCCCGTAGAAATATCTGGCCAGGTACGTCCCTATATCGCCAATTTGTTAGCCGCGACGGGAGACCCAGCATTGAGAAATCAAATGTAGTCGAATCTCATTGAAGGAGAGAGAGGCGCAGACATGAGTTGGAGCCCGCCGACCTGCGTCTACCGTGAACCCTGGACTGATGAGTTGCTTACAAGATGGAGGACCACCAAGCTGTGCATTGAGCTGCAGGACTCGGCGGCGCTGGAGAGTGAACAGCTGGTCGCCCAAAAGCGCAGCTGGCCGCTTGAACTGCGGATAGACATCGTTGAAAGGGCCAGTGCCGTATGGCGAGCCCGCAGAAGAAGAGTCCGGATAACTGTTCACGTAGCCTTCCACAATAGAGCGACCGGTCTGCGGGAAGTAAAAGTCTTCGAGGTATGTGACCAGGTCATCTGTTGTTGACAGATTAGTTTGCGAGAGAGAACAGCGTGCCTTCGTCTTCTTGGTCTCCAATTATGAACGGGACTCGGGCATATCTCCCGGAAGCAGATAGTACGTCAACCGTGTCCTGGAGGATATCGCCGTCTGGTCTAGGAGCACTTTTGGCTGCTAGTTAGCAGTGTTTCTCGTTCGAGGGATCACCGCAGGAAAGCATTGAAAAATTGATCTTGAAAATACGCACTAAGACAATTGACCCCCATTGTAATCAAAGAGGGCGGGAACACTGGTGGCGGCGTTCAGGTAGTCCTGGTAACTCAGAGAGCGAAGACACGCCAGTGTGTCTCCGGACCCTTTGCAGCCCGCGCTGCGAACGACCGAGTCGTAGACCTGTTGAGCTTGCGGGGGGCGTCAACACGGGCGTACGAAATCACACTTCCACTGTCCATGATGGCGCCGCGGAAGAGTGGCTTTCCCTTGTAGGTGTTGTCCCCGCCGTTGAGTGTCATCTGGAGGCGGACGGAGATAGACCCGGCACTCTCGCCAAAGATGACTACCTTGTCCGGGTCGCCACCAAACTGTGCGATGTTGTCGGCGACCCACTGTAGGCCTGAGATATCGTCAGCTGTGCACAAGTCAGGGGCGTCGGAGCCCAAGCAGCGTACCTAAACGCTGATCCCGCAGGGCAAGATTCGTGGAGCCCTCGGCCAGGAGCTCTTTGCCCGGCATCAAGCCAAACCCTCCCACGCAGTAGTTGACGGCGACCCAGACGACCGGCTTGCCCATCGCGATCGAGTCGGTGACGAAGCTGGAGCCGTTGAACAGGGAGCTCCAACCGAGCTCGGAACCGCCCCCGAAGATCCAGTATATCACCGGCAGGTTGTCGCCTGGGGCTGCATTGGGAGGCTTGATAACATTGAGGGTCAGGCAGTCCTCGGAGGCGCCGAGGAGTGTGTTCTGGCCGAACGGCGTGTTGACTAGGCGCCCTGCTACGCTCTCCAAGACACTTGACGAGTTGAGGTTCACCACCAGCTGTGGGCACGCCTTTGCATCTTGAGTGGCATCTACCGTCCCAAGGGGTGTTGTAAGAGGCTGTGATGGTCTGAGGCGGAGGTTTCCAACTGGAGGTTGAGCATAAGGGATTCCCTGGAAGGTGGAAAGGCCTTCTGCGTCGTACCCAACCACAGTCGTCCCATCTGCAAGGGTTGCCCTGACGTCTCGCTTCTGCAACGAGCAGACTGGCGTGGCTAGGAAGAGACGAAACAAAAAGATAAGCTCAAGTCCCAGCATTGTGCAGGACGGTGAGGACCAATGTCGACTAGAGGATGTGAGCTTTCACGAGAATGCGAGGAGAGCCCGAGTTCGTTGGACCAAGTAGACGTGATGTCCGCGATGCGATGGCCCGGGATTTCTGCGCCCACGTAGCAGAGCAGCTCCAGCAATATACAAGCTTTGGCGTGCCATTTTCGTATGTTCGTATCTTCTGTGATGAATATGCTGTTAACAGGCAGACCAATGAAGCTGTCGACAGAACGAACACGGCTGCCAGCCACTGCAAGTGTCGTCACATGATGATATTCCATGGACTCTTACCGAAGACAGAGCACCTCCCCGAGCCTTACTTTCAGGTTTAGATTGTCTTTTACAGGACCTTCGCTTCATCTTCATCCAAGTTAGCCCAGCTGCATCTCCAATCAGGCACCCTTGTTCGGGGCAATCCTAGGTGTATACCATTAAGAACAAGCGTTGCCAAGCAAGATCTGCAATATGACAGGACCCTCTGCCGAGTGCTATGTCGACCTTGTAATAATAGTGCCGAAGCGTAGGCGGGGGAGAATCTCGCATGGCTCAACCGTATCCAGCACATGTTGAGAGCAACAACACCGTAGCATCGTGCTTGCTTTTGGCAGTGACATCCATCTCTTATTCGTATCAGGGTTGCGGGTAGAGTGCTGCGGGAATACAGGCTCATCCGATGGTCTCGATATTCCGGGCCATGTTGTTAGCCGTAGGAACGTCATTATCCCCTTCCCTCATCCAATTTTCGTCCCAGCTTAACGTCAACTAGCCTAGCCGCTGCGGAGTTTTTTGTCGCCATCCAATTTGTCCAAGCATCGGGATCTTGACAAGCACTCCCGCGAGTCTACTGCCCACCACACAACAAGCAATGGTCTTCGGGAGACAATGCACTATCGACAAGGCCATGCTCTTCAACCAGTCGGCTGGATTTTCGGGGCGTAGTAATCATGCATGTGGGTGTCGCCCTTCTATCACGCCCTTCCCGGGCGGAAGATGTTCGATGTGCTTTAGAGCTCGTCACGAGACCAGGCCCAAAGGATTTCATATCGTGAAGCGATGAAAACTCAAAACCCTGTGACTCACTTTTGGACAGCTGCGGCACTGTGATTGAGCGGAACCTCCGATGCGGCGCCATTAATCTCATTGTGCATAACTTGGGGTCGACGGAGCCAAGAAGACTCTTGTGTCACCCTAGGCTGAGCCCAGAAGAAGATGTTCTCTTTCTAGAGGCCACCGAAGTCCGTATTGGCGAAGCTATCCTGGCTCCAACCCATAGTCATCGTAGCCCAGAGATCATGATATACCACTGGCTGTGCGTCGGAGGACCTGCCAGCCCCAGGCACGGCAGCCATCGCAGGGTCCATGAGCGAGGCATTCAAAAGGCTCGAAGGGTCCAGGAAAGTGTCGTCCCATGTTTCTATGAACGGATCAAGGCTCCCGTCAAACATTGGGCACTTGCTCAGCCCCGCATCAGCGTCGGCGGGCATAGGGTGAGGCGGCTGCGCAAGAGCAGTCTTCTCCAAGGCGGCAAGACGCTTGTCATACTTGGTCTTGACGACGCCCAGAACGACCTTGCTTGCCGACAACACGTCTGTGCTGGAACTCGACTTGCTCGAGGCCGGCGTCAGGTCTGCGGTACCACTGCCGTCATGCGTGAATCTCTCTAGGAATGAGCCCAGATCGACTGCCTCACGAGCTGCGACATGGTCCCAGGAAGGACAGTCCTTGGGGAGAGGAAATGATAATCGAAGCCCGAGGATGATCCCCCCAACGAAGTGGCCCCAGTCTGTCGCGGTGAAATTGGCGAATTCGGCGTCCGGGAGGGAGAAAATATAGTCGTACCAGGTGCGTAAAGACTTAGCGCAAGACCATAATCGATCTGGGTCGACGAGTGGGTCTTGCGATTGTTGATTCTGTTTTCGCGAGTTGTAGTATGGGAACTTGAGAAGTGCGTAGCCCTGGAGCAAGATATCTGTAAAGAGGGAGGCAGTGTGGACCACAGCTAGATGAGACGTCAGTCGTGTACCTCTGTCTGCAAAGTTGGCTCTGTACTCGGATTTGACTCACGCTTTGAGGATACATCAGCAGCTATGCGGCCCTGCCACTCTCGCATCTGCGCCTCCATCCCCTTGACCATCAGTAGCACATGCTGGGGTTCGTGCTGTCGCTGTCCCTTGCGCTTAGTCAATGATGAAGTCTCCTCAGAAATATTACCGAATCGAGCCAGCCAGGCGAGGCTCTGGTCCGCTCTTGCAGCTGGACCGGCCTCCGATCTCTCGAGGATATCACAGCAGGTGGCTGTCCACTGCTCAAAAGGCAGGGAGTTTTTCTTGGACCAGATGGACGCAATACTGGTGCAAAGATAGTAGCAAGCTACATAAGCTCGGATCCCAGCCAGGAACTTCTCGTCTGTCTCAAAATTACCTTGGTCGAAGTTATCAGGCTGTTGATCGAGTTCGAGATCATGGACGATATCGGCTGCCATGCGAATATACTGTGAAGCTTGCTTCTGTTTCGGCCTCAGGTGGAATGGATACCTTGGTTGTATCAGCGAGTGGTGCTCATGACTTCCTCCCGCCTCAGAAAAGCAGACTCAGCTTCGTGTACTCACCACGCACAGTAAATCTGCAGCCCGACCAATAATTCGAGGCTCCGCTCGCCACCACTGACGAATTTGAAACCTAGGACTTTGCGAAACTCCTCGTCATAGAGGCTGTGACCCTGCATACTTCTGCCCCCACTGGCTGCCGCCAGTATAGCAAGCAACACGAAGGGCTTATCCTTGGCCAATGATGGAACAGTCGCATCGGACGGAAGGGCGAGCACAGGGAAGTAAGGTAGCATGCCGTTCCTGAACGAGTTCAGGAGGGACGTGGCGGAGTCGAGGTTGAACTGAGGCTGGATGCTGCTGAGCCCGTGGACGGAACGAGAACTGACCGATGGCGTCGAGGACGAGAAAGTACCTGCGCCACTGGTCGAGCAGGAGGCCTGGACAGAGGGGTGAGCATCTGCGTCCCCATCTAGGTCGTCATCCGGTACGAGACCATCGAGGTAAGCTCCGTGAGCATCCCGAAGAGCGTCGAAGGTCTCCGAGGGTTCCATGTCGGTGTCATCCCCGGCCGACAGTGGGACGTCTATGGTAAATGTCTTGGATGGGGCTGAAGGGGGTGGTGTCTTCCTAGTGGCGGCCGGGCGGCTGCTCGATGAACGGTTGGGTCAGTTACTTGATCACTTCCTCACGGAGTACGAAATGGGCGCTTAGCTGACAGCTTGTCGCGTCTCCTCCTCTTCCGTGGGCCTGTCTTGAAGACGCATTCGCGCTTTGAGACGGAACACCTGGTGGATACATGAGGTGGTCAGTACGCTTTACGATGGCCCAGGCTGAGAGAGTCACAGGTTCTTTACCGTCTGCAGATGTCTGGTGCGCTGCTTGGGGTACATTTCACCTTGGCAGCACGGCAGGCCTCGCAGGCATAAGGTATCCGGGGCTTCGTCGCGGAGGATGGGCTGGATGGCTGCTCACTTCCGTCCATTGTGTGCGATTGATTGTGTGATCTGATATTTGGCGCTGCTATCGCGCGTACCGATTGCCTTGAGTGTCGGCGTTTGGCAAAGTGGGTGGGACAAAGGGAAGCTTGGGCGGAGCTGGGAGGAGTCTAGGTCCGGTCGGGCGTAAGCACCGACACCCTGCGGAGGGTTCCCGATAAGTCAAACTGTCCATCATCACCCACGTAATCGCTTTAATCCAGCATGATTATATTGCATTCGTTGCCCCTCCTGACCTCGAAGCCATCGACTGTGCTACCACACTCGACTAAAATATGCCTAGGACCTCAATACCAGCCTGCGATGCTCCTTGTTCACATGCAACGGCTCGAAGCCCCAATGTTCCACACAGAAACAGAATTGAAGACTCTGGCTCATGACCTCCTCACTTCCGAGCCGCATACCTAATTGCGGCACTCTGTACGTTGTGCGCCAGGCCTTTCCCACCCTCTACGGCCGCCTGCGTCGTTTTGAATGACTTGGTCTTCACAATGACAACATAGCCATCCTGGGTCATCATCGCATAAATCCCCCTAGATGTAAACTACGCAGAAATGTCAGCTGATATTTTTGGTATAATTTACGAGACCGAAAAAGTAAGTAGAGAGGATCGTGTTGGTCTGATTTATGATAAACAGGTTGGTGTGAGGTTTTTGCCGATGCTCTGGTGATACGGAAGGCTCTTCGCATGAGCTCATCAAACAAGAAACTGGGAGGCCACCAAGTATGAGATGTCGACTTACGCTGTGCTTCGAACCGCTGAAGCAGACTGCACCACGCACGTGGGCACCGCGGGAGATGCACTCCTCTTTCTTCGCCTGATACTCCTCGCCCCTGAACGTGAAACTCACAGCTGCTGCCTTTCGGTCTGCTGGCTGTCTTCGGATCGTGTCGAACACCTTTCCGATGTTGTCGATCTCGTTCTGGTCGACCTTTGGCCCCTTGTCACCCTTGGACTTGCCGGGCTAGAGTCGGCACATCGTGTCAGTGAATAGCTCCCGGGAGCGGGACGAGGAGGATACGAGCAACGAACCAAAGCTGGCAGAGGCCAGTACACAGTTACTCCGGTAATTTTTCCCTGTCTGGTCGTTCTGACCTTCCCAGCGACAACTTCTTCCGCGGGGTTGTGTTCATGGACAAATCTTTAAAGGGCAGGTAACCATGTCAGCCTGTACATATTGAACGCTGGGGTGAGAATAGATGCTCACACGGCGGCATCATCTGTAGGGAGTTAGTATGAGCATGCGACAAAGAGGAAGAATGGTGCTATGTCAAAATGAGGATGTAACGCCCAGGCGGGAAGTGACTAGAATGAGATGCTGGGAACTGACCCTGAAGGACCTTTCCCGGGTTCCATATCTCTTTACCAGAAGTAGCCATTCTTCCGAATTGTTCTCTCTTGTCAAATCGGATCACAAAGTATCTGGATTAATTGGCTAGCCGAGTTCTTAAGAGCACCTCTGTCATGAATGTCAGGTTAAGATGTAAGGGCGCTAGTGATTGTAAGAAATAGGAAAATCTCATGACTTCCATGATGAACGGGGTAGAATTACTCGTTTTAAAAGCAGCTTGTACATGGTGTAGTCGACCACAGGAGGTCGCCTCGATCATGGCCCCGAGCAGGAGTGGCCTCAACCAGATTGTGTAACAATGCTCGCGGAGCGTCAGAGTCGGAGGAATATGGCCGTTTGGACGATGGATTAAGCTCGATTGTATCGTGTCCAGTCAGGGCATTCCACTAGCGTGCTGGTTGAGGAGGGTGGTAGCCAGGCGTCAGCTTACATGGCGGACTTGGGAAGGGCAACTGGGGATGAGACCACCAACGTTGCCCCTGTGGCCCCCAAATGGCCGAATACGGCAGATCCAATACGTATGAGGTAGAAGAATCATATCGTTCATTACCCTCAGCTTTGGAAGAATGGTGGTAGTCAGCGAAGTAGCGCCAAACGAAATGTTCCCTCCCCATGCCCGTCTCGACCTGGCCGCAGTTGCTGTCACACATCCCCAGTTAGAGATCATCCACAGCAGGCCTGTTTCAATCCCAAAGCCGTCTAAAACAAGATCCCAAATGCCGAGATTCCCCAGTCCAAGTGCACGGATGGGAAGCGACGTATGACCACAGGCCACACGAAGGCGAATGGCAGGTCCGCCGACCGCGTGGGAATGGAGGATTTGGGGCAGGATGGAACATGACCAAGAGCCTTCGGGATCGCGACGCCCCACAGAAAACATACGAAACATGGATGAATTAGCCAGAAAATACCTATGCATAATATCCCTTGTACCCTTCGCCCCTTTCTAATGCCCCGTTGCCCGAGCATCTATACATTAAATGCGCCTCCATCCCACTTGATGCGCCCATGCGCCCATGCGCCCGTGTCTGTCTAACATTAAAGCCACTGCCGCGTGATCGTACACAGGAGTGTCAAGGCTCTCAAGGCAGGGTCATGAACAAAGCCTCCAACTGAGGATAGTTCGGTGTCCCCAGCCCCGTCAGCGGGTCCCACCCCTGCACGGCCGAGAAGCCATCAGTTCCGCACCCGGGGTTCTTGCCGTTGGTCACGTCGTTCATCACCTGCGGGTTGGCGTACAGCGCAGGGTTTACGAACCCGACAGGGCCCTTGCCGGCCTGGATGCGCTTCTCATTGACCATATTGATGATGGACGCAAAGACGGGGGCGGATGCTGCGAGGAGTGTTGCGTTAATTTAGAAAGATCCCATCAGATGTCGCAGGGAGGGCAGGAGACGAGGACTTACCGGATGTTCCAAAAGACAGCGAGAACCGGCCGTTCACAGCCGTGACATAGTTGGCACCGTTCGCACTAACGTCTGGGAAGCCCCTCACCACCTTCGAGTTGTTGAAGCGGTCCGCGCCGTACGGTGGGGCGTGGTCGGCGAAGTAGGTACCCACCGCCTTCTCCTGGTATGACGGCATCGCGAAGACGTTCGAAAACCCTCCGCCAGAGAAGATCACCCTCTCACAGGCGCTCTCGGGGGTCCTGACCGTCGAGCCATTCAAGATCTGAGTGGCCCCCACAGACGTGACCCACGGGCAGCCCCCCGGGAACGACGGGTTGAACATGCCAGTTGATCCGTTATTATATGCTCCTGTGACCGGATCGATGCATTGGTCTCCGTTGCCCGCCACCCCGGAGTCGCCCGAGGAGTAGACAACTGTTACGCCCTGTAGCGCCAGCTTCATGTACTCATCGCACTGGCGTTTCTCGTACTTGATGCCCAGATCGGCCTCGTTAAAGCCGTAGCTAGTGGATATCACGTTGGTGGGTTTGGTGGTGCCGCAGTTGACTGAAGCGGGGTACTGGCCATCGATATTGGGATCTTTGGAGTCCCCACCCTCGAACTGACAGTAGCTGCCATCGATGCCGTCCAGGAAGTTGTTGAAGCTCGCGCTCTGGACCAGATCGCCGACCTGGTACAAAGTGGCCTGTTGAGGGTAGATCAGGGCCATTGCGAACTCCAGATCCAGCGCCGACTCGCCGTTGAATTGGAAGCTCTTGTTTTGGTTCTGGACGACGCCATTGTCGAGCAGCGTCACGATTGGCGACTTGCCGTCCAGGTTAGGCTCGAACTCCTTGAAGTACATATCCAAATCCGACTGAAGAAAAGCCTGAGGAGTGTACTCCACAATACCAAGGGTGTTGTTACTGGCTGAGAGGCTGCCCGGCGGCGTCGCGTAGAGGGCTCGCAGGCACGCGGGCGTAATCATGGAATCGCATTGCGACAGGTCCATGAGTGCGTTGTCCACGAAGGCGCCCTGCTTCGGGTTGCTGCCGTCATCGGGCTTGCCGACGATGCCTTTCTCGGGACGCTGCCGTTTCTGCAGTTCTGCAGACCTTTTCTTGAGCTCCGAAATGGCGTCCTCCGGGAGTTCCTGGTGCCTGTTCTTCCGACCCTGTCCCACACGCTGGTCGAAGTGCACAGTAGGCGTGATGAAATCGACATGCTCCACCAGGTGCTCGGGAATGTGGTACTTGTCGCAAGCTACGTGGCGAGTGTTTGCCGCAGTCGAGTGCTTGTAGACGTGGTATGTCGTCTTCAATATCTGTTCCATCTCCCGCACCGTCGCGTTGAACGTGATCCAGCTTTTGGATGCCGACATTTTTATCCGACTCGGGTGTATCCCCTCCATCTGCAGCCAGTCCATCACCGAGTCAACAGCGCCCTGCTTGGGCTTGAACATGTCTACGACCTTCGCAGGCGACCAGTGCTTTCCGTAGTTGGGGGACTCCGGATGTGAGACATCGTATATGAGCTCCTCAGCCCGGTGAAGGTTCTGCTGCGTCAGACCTATCCGGACTGGGAGGGTCGCAGCGGCGTGCAGGCGATGGGACTTTGACCAGCTGCTCCGCGCCGCCAGTCTCTCCTCGTGGACGACATGATTAAGGGTCCGTGGCCGCAGCGGCGTCGCGTCGACTGCTGCCACCAGGGCAGTCAGTATGCTTGTGAGAACGCTGAACCGCATCTTGGCAACACCAGGTCGTCCAAAGTCCAGAAGGGGAAGAGAAGACAGGTCTGGCAGGCGCATGGAACTTTCTTCATATTGCTGTCGCTCCATCTGATCTCTGAGATGCCCCAGCCAGGGGTTCTCTGGCTGGGGCACGACTGAAACCGCGCCCACGATCCATGGCAGACCCTTCTCCGACTATGAACCGGTGTCGAATCCCGTAACTACAGGGTAGACGACGACCGCCACCCTTGATTGCAAAAATCAGTGGGCCGTGTCGAGCCATCTCGCACCCGGAAACCAAGCTTCAGATGATCCACTAGTCAAGCTTCCCAAGGAAGCTTACATGTGATCAGTGATCGACGGGATGAGGCCATCAGCCACAGCCATGACGGCGTCCGGGACGAGTACATCAAACATTTCCGGCACATCATGTTGCAGACTGCAGGCCTAGGTTCGCGTGCAACGAGAGCTATCAGCTGGGGCACAGACAGCCCTGTTTCTGCCGCGTGGGCCGGTTTATGCACTATCTCGAGCCGTTATCGACCAGTTGTATGTCCAGGTTGAGGCCAGGGCCCGGGCGGTTGCTTTTCCACGGGCAGCCGCTTCGAGGCACCGAGTGCTGGGAGCGGGTGGGGTTCGACACGGAGCTCGGGAGCTCGGGACCCCTCGAGCGGGAGGGCTAGAGAGGTTCCAAGCGCGTACCTGAAACGGAGGCGCACCCCGGCAATCCGCCGGGGATCTTGAGCCCTACGTGGCCTTGGCAAAAGGTAAACCACAAACTGTATCTCTGCTCGACGAATCTTGCTGTCGGAAGATCTCCAACTGTTCCTCGAGGTCACGCGACAACTGGTCGCTGGTGTTTTCCTCTGCTGGCTGCAAAAAGGTAGACATGGCATCTTCGAGAGTCTCGTCCGAGAAACCTGGCGTTTTGAGCATTGCGTGGAACTGCGTCTCAGATCTGAGATCAGCCTCAAACTGCGAAGTAAGCGTGTACGCACGCTGGACTTGAGACGGTTTGACAATATTCCACGCCTTGGTGGGCCTGCTGCCGCGCGACAGCGGCGGGTCCAAGACAATGTTTGTGACGGCAGCATTCAGGTTCGTAAGTTCCTTTGCGCCGCTGCTAGCCTGTTTGTCGGTCACGCTCCACGCATGGATCTGACCCTTGGGGTGCCCAGACAGAAGGACCGTGCCATCGTACGTCAAGCCCAGACAAGATGCAGGCCCGGATTCTGAGGGTGCAACACAAAAGGGCGACGTGACCTGCACGACGGTAGACGATTCCTCACTCTTGGGTCCCAGCAGCGGCTTTGGGCCGAAGAACTCGACAGAGTAGACGGAGCCGTTCTCTGTTGACACAAAAACGCCTTTCGAGCAAGGGTCAAGTGCAACACACAGAGGGGAGGTAGGGAACAGCAGAGTGCGGAGGACTGCACCAGTCCGATAGTTCCAGACGATGCACGTCTTGTCCTTGCTTGCTGACACGCAAAGACTTGTCTCCTCGCCATCGCCAGACGATGACGCGATGGCCGTGATGGCCCCCCTGTGGTTGGAGAAACTGACGACAGGCTCACGCTCCTCGTTGCTGTCGAGTTCCAGAAGCTGGGCGAGGCTCCAAACATGGATGTTGGAGTCGTCGGACGCGGTCAGGAGATGATACGGCGTTGCTACGACGCAAGACACGGCCTGGACGTGACAGGGAGGCAGTGACACCAATCTGCCAGTGCAGGTCTGCGGAATTCGTCAGTGAACTGGACGGTAGCTGTTGGGTGCACGTAAAACCCTGGAGAACCTACCTCCCACAGCATGATCCTGCCCTCGACGGTCCCCAGGATGAGTACATCGCCGGCCAACGTCAAGCACCTTATCCTCTCGGGGAAAGCCACGAAAGCCTCCTGGTTGCCACGGAGGCGTGAGTAGACATGGACATAAGCCTTCTCATGCTGGGCGGCAAACACGTGCGTCTCGCTGGCGGCAAGACAGTTTGGTGGAGTCGCACTCTTCTTAAATGCCGATTTTGCAGCAAAAGTTGGCCATAGAGAGTGCGTATAAATCCCAACGTCCTTGGCGATGGCCGTGTTGCTGGACAGCGGGGGCCCACAGATGGACGAGAAGAATTCCTCGGCCAACATGTTTCCTTACTCTGGGAGATGTGCTTCAATGCACAGAAGACAGCGGTTCGTGGTAAAGTTGGTTGCAGGCAGGCTTGACGGCGATTTTCCTCATGTCGAAGCCAAGGAAAGCACTGAAATTTACTGCGCCTAAGTTTGGTAGGAGCGCACGAGCCAGGTGAACCAGGACCCAGGGTATAACCCTGACCACTACGCATCCTCATTGCCTCTCATGCGGTGGGCAAAATCCAGACTGCTTCAACTGCGAAGTCTACGAGCTCGTTTCAGTGGATTAATACACGGATTATATCTGTTCGTGTTGCGATGGAAAGCCGTAGCACGAACGTGGACGTCATGATCGGCACTGACGCTGAGTGATGTGCTGCGAGTCGTCTCCGCTGCTAACATATAAAAGATCAACCAGCAACGAATGGAGGGACATCAACTCAGCCTCATCGACTCCTATTTTCGTTGTTCAAAGACGGTGACTTGGATTATCGAGCACTAATATATACGATTCAAATGCTCTCTTAGCCATGTTTCAAACAACCAGCTTGGTCTACAAGTCTTCCATCGCCAAGCAAACCGTGCCATCCCATGACTTGTAACCCTGAAGGTCCGGGGAAAGTGCCTGCTGACGCACGGCGCTAACCACCATAACAACACAGCAGGAAACATCTCCTCGCTGTCTTGAAGACGAGCAGCCATCCATCTCAGGGACAAGTCAGCCAACCGATAGCATCATCGCCCAGTGGGGATAGGAGAAGACTCTCCGGTGCAGGAAAAAAGACCGCAGGCCTCGGCGCATGTCTCTGGCCCAAGAGGGCGAAGACTTCTACGCACTAATATTAAGCATACCGAGAACCTAATTTAGATTGGGGCCTCCTCGCCATTGGCCAATCCCGCAGCCCCTGAGATGTACAGCTTCCACTTTGGGCGCCACCCCGAGTAATTTACCTACGTGGCGATCGCTCGCGCGCGCGGGGTGGAGGGTAGCATTTGGGGCCAATCTTTGTTTTAGTCTTCCTGTGTTCCTGGAAACAGAACGGTAGAGTGAGCGGGGAAACATGCAGAGGATGGGACAGGCTCGAATGTATATAGGCCATGATAACTGGCCAGCAGTCTGCGTGCGGGTGTCTGTCCTATGGTGAATGCCCTCCTTCACCGTGACAGTCACTGCCCGCGCCGACGAGTACTTATAGCGAAAATTGCAGGCCATTTGGTCTATTCTTTCCTTCTTCCCTTCAGGAGCTCCGAATTATATAGATTCGTCTGCCCAGCACGTTCGTCCTTCTCTTCGTCGCCGGTGCTGTGCCGCCAGTTCGCTTGCCTATCAGTCATTCGTTCACTCACTCTTTCGTTCTCGGACCCCACAAAATGGGCTGGAGGCTCTCATTCGTTTCCTCTCCGTCAGCAGTCTTCCTGTCACTACTGCTGGCGTGCCTGACGCTCGCGATCGAGCTCGACACCACCGACACGGCCTCCATCTCCGCGTCCGCCTCAACCGTCGCCTCGGGACTGTTCAAGGCGTACTACAATGCCAACTCTACAGCGGGAGACTTCAACCAGCCGAAGCCGTGGTACTGGTGGCTCTCGGGCTCGGGCTGGAACGGGCTGATGGACTATACCATTCTCACCAAGGATACGCAGTATCAGACAGCCCTCCTGGCCGCCATATCGGAGAACCTCGGCTCAAACTTCGACTTTGCGCCTGCGGAGCAACAGGGCTGGGAGGCAAACGACGATCAGATGTATTGGTCAGTATCACTCTTCTCCTACTGTGGTTCCCCAACCTTTGTGCTTTGGAATACTCCAGAGTGTGTGATTCTGGGACCCGTGGCAGGTGATTAACACATAGCAGGGTGTACAATGCGCTGACCGCGATGGAGTATAACCTCACAACCGTCGAGGGAGCGCCGGCGTGGGTGACCATCGCCGAGAACGCCTTCAACGCGTTCGCGCAGAGGTGGGAAGCCGACAGCCCGACATGCGGCGGGGGCCTGAAGTGGCAATATGACAAGACCGCGAACGGCTACTTCTACAAGAACGCTGTGACGAACGGGGGTTTCCTCCAGGTTTCCGCCAGGCTGTCCCGGTACACGGGCAATACGACATATGCCGAATGGGCCGGGAAGATCTGGGACTGGTCTGTTGCGGTCGGGCTTGTCGGACCGCAGTTCAATGTCTTCGATGGGGCATCCGACGAAGGGACTGGCAACTGCAGCGCCATGTCTGCGGACCAGTGGTCATACAACGTCGCGACCTATATGATGGGTGCTGCCAACATGTATGCATACAACGGTGCTATGGGGTTTCCGGAGCAGCAGGTCATCTGGGGATCGCGAGTCGCTGGACTGGTGGCCGCGGCGAATGCGACCTTCTTCTCCCCGCCGACGAATAACGCCACGGGTGTCATGTATGAGCGGAAGTGTGAAGTCACGTCGGAGTGCGACCTGGACCAGACGAGCTTCAAGAGCAGCCTGTCGAGGTGGATGGGGAAGGCAGCGGTGCTGGTCCCTAGTGTCAAGGACAACATCATGACGCTGCTCAGCACCAGCGCGAGGGCGGCAGCTGCGAGCTGCACAAACGGGACCACGACCGTCTCCTGTGGCATGAAGTGGTGGACGGCCGATGGATTTGATGGGTACTCGGACTTCGGGTCGCAGCTCAGCGCGTTAGAGGTCATACAGAGCCTGCTGGTGACAAGCACCGCGGAGCCGACGACGTTGATTCCGGCCGCGTAGTTTGACGCGGTCGTTGCCAGGAGGCATCAGCGGTTTCGTCCCCAATATAAATAACATCAACAATTTTGCCGACAATCCTTCTCATATCGTGTCAACTTGTGATCCGAAATGACCGTTTTTGGGCGGTGGTGTCAAGTGCCCCGGACACGGGCTCTGATGCCAGTAAGACATTTCCACAGCATTGAAGCAGGGGCATGAACCGGGAGCACCGCCCATGAGCATGCAGTGAATGCGCGCGCATCGATTCGCATAGCAGCACAAAATGCATAAGCGTGCAGCTCTGGTTCCCCCTCCACGAGTCCTGGGGGTATCATTTTTGAGATACCATGGGATCCGGAGTTAGCAATCTGAATACCGGCGACGGTTGTTGCTGCCGTGGTCTGAAGTTCACGAAGGTTGGCCTGATCACGTCTTCGAGTCGCGGTCCTATTCGTCCGGTCTCATTGTTGTTGCTGCCACCAGACGGTGTCAGCTCGGGACGAGATGATTGACAGGTACGTCGAGAAGTGGCCGGGGAGGCAGGACTCTCACTCAACCCGGGTAGGCACCCAGAGAGGCTGTCCGGGTCCCACAAGGCCGGCAGACACGAGCTCCGGGAGCGATGTCTCGGACGAGGCTGCATCTGCTCACACGCGTCTCGTGGCAGGCGCGCAGGCTATTTTAGTACCGCATGGCGTGGGCAAGCATGCTGCTGTCTATGTGGCGCGGCGCGGATAGAATGCGTGGTTTCAATCCGCCGCATCCACAACCAGCCACATTCGCGTTTCCGGCTGTGCCCTCGAAGGTTCAAGCGCGGGCAGATCATGAATCGCCGCGCGCCATGCGAGGCTTGGATTTTGGCGTGGCATGATCAAATCGAGACGGCATCCTTATCAGCAGTGGGCCGGTGAGGTATCTGTAGGGCTAGCCCTCCCCGGCCTACAGGTCGCTGGTCAACCACAAGTGGAAAAGGTGGTTGTGGATTAATGTGCACAAATAGAAGTGGATATGCAGGCTGGAAAGCTTGGCAGAGAAGGGCCCACAAATGATGGGATGAAATGTGTTCGACTGCATCCTCGGGAGAGAAGGGACTGCAGGTCGTGGAACCTGACATCGACCTCGTCCTGCTCGTCTGCCCCAAGCTGGCCCCCAACAGGGATCGATTGGCAGCACAACACCGCCCCAGCCGATCACAATGGCCTGAACGGGGGGTGGGGAACTTTTCGGACAGGAGGGGAGCGCGTTGGTGGTTTCAGATTGTCTCCCGTAGACGATCTTGGAAGCGGGCAGGAAGGACACTTGTTCGTGTGGTGCCTAGGTCCCTTTCCTCCCGACGAACCGAGGAGCGCGGATTCCATTTTTGGAGAAGGCGTGGCTTGCAGGTGAAACAAGGGACCCTCAATTTAAGCTTTGCCTGGTACCCTTCCTCGAGCCTTCTGCTCTGGCCAGTGGTCAGTGGTCATGGTTCGAAGGCTCCTTCCGCATGTCAACCTCCCATTGCGTGGTCCCGTTGATGAGTTCCCTGTTTATTAGCTTTCTGAGGCTCTGGCGATCATCAACCTCTGGCGACCCTAGATTGACGAGGGAAGCCTCGTTGAACAGTAGGCGGTGACCAATGCGTGCAGGCAGGCAGGCAGGCAGGCAGGCAGGCAGGCAGGCAGACAGACAGACACACTGTCAACTGTTGGACCCCTGCTGCCACCCAACGGATCGACCTCGTGGGTCCTGATGCTGATGAGATAATATGGGCAGATTGGGATGGGATTGGACCGGCCACCTGCAGATCTCTCTCCTACGAGCATCTCCGAAGGCCAAACAAACTCATCACACAGCGTGTCTGCCCCGACCGGAAATTGAGTTCGTTGTTGTGGGAGGGACAGACCGATCAAGGTCATTGCCACATTGGCTTCGTCAGTGTGTTTTGCTTCCAGCCGTTGAGCAAGGCCTCCAAAACCCAATCGCCCGCTCGTCTCGATGGCACACCCGGGTGATGCGTACGGTTCGGGTCATACGAAGAATGACAGGCAGAGCAGAAAAGGCCTCGTAAGCCGCCTCGTAAAAGCAGCATCGCCTCGCATACCTAGCGTTTGGTTTCCCAAAGCACCTGCTCAACTGGGCATCGTTTCTGATCTTCCCTGATCTGCGCCGTCGTCGTCTTGGCCCCGCAGAGCAGCCAGCTGCATGTGGAAAACTTGGAACCCCGAGACGAGACGCCTTGTAAAAGTCGGCATTCCCTTCCTACATTCTGCATCATACCTAGGTACTGTAGACTAGTAGATACTCCGTGACCCCCAAGCTTTTCCTCCTCCATGGGCCTCCGCGTCACCGGTTCAGTCCAGCCCGGTCCAGCCCTGCCCTGCCCGCCTCCACGCTGGCCACTCTTTTTAATCAACTCGCAGCTGCACCTGCTGCAACCCGCATCTTCGAATCAGTCAACCAGTCAATCAATCTGCCCGCCCACACCCCTGCGCCCTGTTCGGGGGGTGGTCCCGAATTAAAAAAAAAAAAGGCCAAGCCCGCCTAGCTGCAAGCTCATCATCCCGCACCATACTTTTCTTGGCTCGTTTCTTCCCCTGCCCATGCCCAGGTGTGCGCATGTGTGTGTCTGCGTCTGTGCCTGTGCCTGTGAGGAGAACGACCGTTGATTGACAATTGGCGAGATCCCAACTTTTTTTTTTTTATTCCCTTGCCTGCCATCTCAGTCAGCCCGCCAGCCAATGCGTTCAATTTGTCGCACTACTACTACTTCTACAACAATCTACACGTCCATATCGTCGTCTCGCGTCATCTCGTCCCGCCCTTCCCTGCAACACTCCGTCTGTCACCTGGCAAGCCCAGAAGTGGGATTTCACTTCACTCACCCATCGCATTCTTATTGGCATTTGACGCTTCTCTGCCTCCAACACAAAAGACTGTACCCAGCCGTCACTCCCTAGCTGGGCCCTTACCCACCCTCCCACGGCGGCGCAACCCGTTTCAATCCCACCGCAGTCTTGGGCGTCTTCCGAAACCTCATCGTCGCGCACCGACAGCACGAATCTGGGGCCTCCGAACCGACCTCCCCCAGCCCCTTATCCGACCCGCGCAACCACCTGCTACCGCCGCCTCCGCACGTCAGCCGGTCGGGACCATCTAGCTCCATGTTCAATGTTCGTCGAAAGCCGATGCTGATCCCCGTCTCGGCGCGATCGAAAAGCCCCAGGCGACAGCCCAACATGCTCACCGTCAAGCGCGCCCTGATCGCCGCCGCCTTCTTCATCACCATATTCTACATCGTCACCCGGTCACACGGGCCCGAAGCCCCGCCACCCGTGCCAATACGGCCAGAAGAAGTCTCGCCAAAAACAGACAATGTACACCACGAGTCCTCGAAACAATCCTCCTCCTCGACAGACAAACCACAGGCGGCTGAGAAGCCACTAAGCAATGGCGGTTCCAGTAGAAATGGTGGTGGTGGTGGTGGTGGCGGCAGCAGCAGCGAGATAACGGGGCAAAAGACAATGCAGGACCTGTCCAAGATGTCGACCTACGACAAGCTCGCCTACCAGTTTCCCTACGATGTTGAGACCAAGTTTCCCGCGTTTATCTGGCAGACGTGGAAATACACCCCTTCGAGCGGAAAGTTCAAGTTCAGGGAAGAGGAGGCCACGTGGACGGAGCACCACCCGGGGTTCATCCACGAGGTCATAACGGACGACGTCGCCGAGAACCTGGTAAAGCTGTTCTACGCCTCCGTCCCAGAGGTGATCGAAGCCTACACCGCGATGCCCCTCCCGGTGCTGAAGGCGGACTTCTTCAGGTACCTGATTCTGCTGGCGCGCGGCGGCGTGTACAGCGACATCGACACGTCTGCCCTCAAGTCCGCGGTGGAGTGGGTACCCGATTCCGTCCCGCGCGAGACAATCGGCCTGGTGATTGGCATTGAGGCCGACCCAGACCGGCCCGACTGGCACGATTGGTACAGCCGGAGGATCCAGTTCTGCCAGTGGACCATCCAGTCGAAGCCGGGCCACCCAGTCCTGCGCGATATCGTCGCGCGGGTTGCGGCCGAGACGCTCAAGAGGAAGAGGTCAGGGCTGCTTGCCGCGATGGACACCAAGAACGTAATAGAATTCACGGGACCGGCCGTGTGGACCGACACGATTTTCGAGTACTTCAACGACCCGCGGTATTTCGACATGAGCACGAGCAAGGGGGCAATCGACTACAGGAACTTCACGGGCATGGAGGTTGCCAAGAAGGTCGGCGATGTCATAGTCCTCCCCATCACGAGCTTCTCGCCTGGCGTGCAGCAGATGGGCGCAAAGGAGCCTGACGACCCGATGGCGTTCGTGCATCACGATTTCGAGGGTAAGTTTACGATCACCAGAGAGAAACGAGTGTGGGCACAATCGGACTGGAGACTGACCCTATCTCAACAGGCACGTGGAAGCCCGAGAGCGAGAGGCACATCGGCCCTGAAACTTGACGGGCAGCACCATGCTCCTCGTCTCTTCTTGTGTACAAACTTTTCTTGATTTCCCCTCTTGCGAACATGCCAACACGAATGCATGCGATTGGAGTCCGGGTCTCTTTGCGTTGGTTTCTATGTCGAGGTTTCACGACGGTCGCGAGAAAGGGGAAAAGCAGAGACAGCCACTTGTTATATGATATGCATACCCAGTATTGATCGATTGAGGGACGATAACGACCTTTAGAGAATAATAGACAGCAAGGCTTGGCAAACATCTATGGCGATTACTTTGTTGCCCGGGTTCCGCCTGTGGTCCACGTGAAGCAGACGAGCTCCCCCTTCAGCCACCAGGGAGACTTGCGAGATGCGGGTGAGACGAAGGGCGGACGCACTGTCTCGAGACTGACCTAGCTCCATCGTGTTGCTTGTCAGCACATGTCACAACCAGGACGAGAGGCGGCAGCACAGAGTGGCGGTTGTACTTTCGGGAGGTGACAGTTGTTGCGTTGCGTGGCCTGGGGGATCTTGGGATTGCGTGTCCAAATGACGGCAGTGGTCGGTGGTCAACCCAGCTTAGGGCCCGGACGACCCACGCACACACATCGTGACTGCCATCATCTCTCCCTCCTGTCGTCGCACCAGGGTCCACCGAAATCCAGGTGGAAGTGGCACCGAGCTCGGTAGTAAGCCTTGGCCTGCTGGGCTAGTCTCCTTGGACTGTGGACTTGGATGCAACTTCCCCAAACGCCAACCCCGCATTTCGGGGATCGAGCTGGGTGCGCCGCTCCGACTTGGGGCTGGGTTCCGGGGAGCGGACCGTCTTCATCGTCATAAGCACCGAAGGGCTCCCGCTGTCTCGTCAAATATCTTGTGAGCTTATCCGTTCGCGCGTGTTGCTGCTCCTGTCACACGGGCCCGCGATGCGTAACCCATCATATCCATCCGCTTCCTGACGTCATGCTGCCAGAACTCACCTCGCGATGGGCTTCGCAAGGCCTCAGAGCTGCCCGGACCCGGCCGTGGGGACGGTCGAGGACGCTGTTCGGGGGGGCCAGGGCTGTCTCTCTGGCTGTGAACGGGACTCAAGCGAGGCTCTCGTCCAGCGGCCTGACTTACAGCATCTCACAGGGGCCGGATGAGCCCCCGCTCCTGCCTCATACCATCCCCGAACACTTCGCGAGGGTCGTGTCCGAGAATGGTGACAGGCCGGCAGTCATCTGCCGCGACCCGACAACCACGGCTGTCACTGGCCAAGAGACAACCCTCAGCTTTGCCGCCCTCGACGCCGTATCCAACACACTGGCCCAATCCCTTAGGTCGGCCGGCGTCAAGAAGGGCGACAGGGTGGCTGTCAAGCTCGGAAATACGGCAGAGCACGCGGCCCTGACGTACGCCGTCTCCAAGCTGGGCGCTATTCTGGTGCCGCTGAACCCGACCTTTAACTCCTCGCAGGTCGCTGCCGCCCTGTCGCACCTGAGCGTCGAGGTCTTCGTCGCCGCCGCAGTCACGGACCGCGCCTACAAGCCCTGCCAGGGGCGGAGCAACCTGGACCTTCTCAGGAGCCTAGTCCCGGACCTGGAGTCGGGGCGCCTTGAGAGCCCAGTCGTGCCCACGCTGAGGAAGGTGGTGGTGGTGGACAACACATCGTCCCACCCTGCCGTGGATTTCCGCCTGCCCGACTACCCGTCCTTGACTCCGTACACGGCGCTTGCCCCGTCCTTGCCGTCCTTGTCGTCCTTGTCGCTGAGCAGCACCCGCCCCGTCGTGCCCGATTCCCCACTACACGCCCAGGACTGTATTAATATCCAGTTCACGTCCGGGACGACGTCGCATCCCAAGGCCGCCATGCTCACGCATACCGGCATTCTCAACAATGGCTACCTGATTGCCCAACGTATGGGCCTAACGCCGTCCGACCTGATCGTCTGCCCACCGCCACTGTTCCACTGCTTCGGCTGTGTCCTCGGCTACATGGCTACTGCTACTAGCGGCGCGTCCATTCTGTTTCCGTCGCCGGCGTTCGACCCTTTTGCCAGCTTAAAGATGGCAGCCGACCACCGTGCAACCGGCCTGTACGGGGTGGCAACCATGTTCGTGTCGATGCTCGAGCAGCTCGACAAGAAGACCCGGCTCGCGCCCGAGGAGGCTTCGCGGCTGCCCACGCACCTGCGCAAGGGCATCGCAGCCGGGTCGTCGGTCCCCGAGTCGCTGATGCGCAAGCTCTACGATAGGCTTGGCCTGGATGAGCTAGTCATCTGCTACGGCATGACCGAGACCAGCCCCGTGTCGTGCATGACGGCGCCGAGCGACCCCTTGGACAAGCGGACGGCCACCATCGGCAAGGTGATGCCGCACACGCGCATCAAGATCGTCGACCCGGCGGACAGGAGCAGGATCGTGCCGATCGGCGAGCGGGGTGAGCTGGCCACGAGTGGGTATCTCGTCATGCAAGGCTATTGGGGCGATGAGGAAAAGACAAAGGAGGTCCGCATACTGGAGCCGGACGTTGACACCGGCAGGGCGGACAGCCCAGATGCTACGGGGGAGCCTGCGGTCGGGCAGAACGGCAACGGGGGTCCAGGGACCGGGCGCTGGTGGATGTACAGCGGCGACGAGGCGAGCATGACTGCGGACGGTTACGTCTCGATTACTGGACGCATCAAGGACCTGATTATCCGAGGCGGTGAGAATATCCACCCGCTCGAGGTCGAGAACGCGCTGTTCCAGCACCCGCTGGTGGCTGAGGCGTCGGTTGTTGGTGTGCCGGACGCAAAGCACGGCGAGGCCGTCTGCGCCTTCATCGTGCCGCGCGCCGGCGTCGCCACCGAAGATGACCCAACTTTTGGCGAGGACGGCTTCGCTCGCTCCGAGAGCCAGGGCCTGCCGCTGCTGCGCAAGGACGATGTACGCGCCTGGGTGCGCGGCAGGCTCTCGAGCCACCTCGTCCCCAAATACGTCTTCTGGACGGACGATTACCCCAAGACGGCCAGCGGGAAGATCCAGAAGTACAAGCTCCGCGATGCGGCACGGGACTTGATCCACATCCACACAGGGCCGGGCAGTGTGGACGAAAAATACGAGGCTGTTTTGGAGAAGCAGATTGGTGGTAAGGAGGGTGGACGGTCATCTTGGGAGAAGTAGTGGTGGCTTGTTCTTCCCAACTATCATGGGAGACTTTGCTTGATTCAGGCGTGGTGTTGGAGGCATACATGTGCTTTGACTATTCGAGCTGCATGCGTGGTTTTGGATGTTGTCGTAAAGCCTGTTCGAATTCGTCCAAGCATCTGGGCCAAGCTGGACTAACCGAGACAAGCCCGTGACCAGACTCAACCTGACATGTTTCCAACCTCACTCCACTCCTCAGAATGGGCAGTGAGTTCCATCGGTCTAGTCTGGAGCCATCTTCAATGCGAGCTCAAACTGCGAGCCGGCATTCCTCAAACCCTTGTGCTTCATCCCGCTCCTCACCACGATCCCTTCCGTGCCCCTCTACTGCGCAGGCCAGTTGTTCGTAAAGTCCAGACACGCCCCGTTGGCGCTCCTGGCGATCCCGCGGTCCGACAGGAACACACAATACTTGGCCACGTTCTCGACGAGGACCGTGTGCTTCTCCCCGTCGAACTTTGCCTGCGACTGCTCGAACTTCTGGAAGAAATCCACGTTGATGCCCTTCTGCATGGCATCAGTGATGTTAGTGTTCATGCCGCCCAGCATCAGCGCGACGGAGTAGATCCCCTTGTCGGCATACGCGAAGGCGGTGTTCTTGCTCAGGCCCAGCAGGCCGTGCTTGGACGCCGTGTACGCCGCGCCGGCGCTGTGCCCGGTCCTGGCGGCCACGGAGCAGATGTTGATGATGAGGCCACCTCCACTGCTGCTATCCCCGTCCTGCCCCTGCTTCTGGAACTGCGCCACGGCCGCGCGCGTCGCGTAGAAGGGCCCGTTGAGGTTGACGCCCAGCACGCGCGCCCACAGCTCGGGCGGGCACTCTGCCGCCGGCGAGAAGTCGTCCATAATGCCCGCGTTGTTCACGAGCAGGTCGAGGCGGCCGAAGCGCTCGGCGGTCTTGTCTACGAGCGCCTGCACCGACGCCGGGTCCGTCACGTCCGTCGTCGTGGTCAGGATCCGCTCGGGCTTGTGGCCTGCGGCGAGCCACTCCTTCTCCGCCGCGGTCAGCCGCTCCTGGTTCACGTCGCAGATGGCCACGTTGCTGCCTGCGGCGAGGAAGGCCGTGGCGGTGGCCTTGCCCAGGCCGCCGCCGGCGCCGGTTACTATTACTGTGTGGGAGGACATGTTGTCTTGGTGTGGGAGAGGGAAGGGGGTGGTGAGAAGATGGATGGCTGGTGGGGGAGAAAGTACAGTGCGCAGGAGGCAAGTCTCGCGGAGGCCTTATGTAGATACGTAGTCGACCCACCCGTGATCCCCGTCTTTATTGTGGAGGGTAGGGATGCAGGCGGCGACCCGTCCACGCAGGGGGCAATGTTTGTTCCCGGGGCTCACGTCCTCCAAGTGTCGTGTTGTGGACCGGACTCGCTCAAGGCTTGAGACTTGCGTACAATTGTGCAAGCTCCTGGTCCCGGGAGCCACGTCTACATTGATAATCAGGTTACGGAACGCCGTAACTCTGACAAGATGGCCCCGAACCTTTGCGGTCGTTTTCCCTTATCCCAAACTCAATGTCGAGACCTCGGCACTTGGCTGATTGAAGTCATGCTTGACATCAGTGGGAGACTATTCCGGCCATTGTGCCCCTCCGTACTCGAGTTCGGGGACGACGGTCCTGAGGTATTCGTACTCGCTTACATTCAGGGGCTCCAGGGTTCGGGCTCTTGAAAGGTGGAAACCAACGGCGCGGAGCCAACTCAAAGGCATGAAAATGTTCGCATGGCCAAGTCATGGCGGCCTCGTTGGTTTCTCTCACGTTACACAAGGCTTGGTGTGTTACTAGCACTCTTCCATTTGAGGGAGCCTGCCACTTACTCATCATCACCCTCTACTTTCTCTTGGCAGTGTGTAGGAAGAGCAGAAAGGGGGCCCTCGCGACAATGATTTTAACTCTTTTGACCTCATACAGCCACAGATCCCTCGCATGCTCTTGACGAAATTCCCTGTTCAGAAGCAGCACAATTCGTGATGGAAATGAGCACCTTAACTAATAGCACACAACAGAGACACCGTTCCCAATCCAGACTTTGACGAACGAAGAAGCAGACTGTGATGTCTTGAGAAAAACTGAGCACTGGATTCTCGGAGGGATGTGGGTGCTACCGTTGGAAGTGCCATAGGGTCTCGGACTGCAAGTAGTCGGTGGTCTAGACTGATGGAGCACCAACACCAACACCAACACCAGTAATTCAGTGTTAAAGCCAATAGACAAAAGTTCAAGGGTGTCCAAGTCCAAATTTGCGGGGTAGCACCTGCATGAATCCACGCCGTCGATCCATCATCAAAGAGGTCGATCCAGGCCTGTCAAGTTGTCAAACTGGCCAAGGCTGGGGAAAGTAGGTAGCTTGTTGTCTTGTGTTCCCAGGCTGGTGGGATCCCCACAACTGACAAGTGCGCCCCGTCCCGTCCCGCCTTTCCCGAATGGACCGTCCCAGCCGTGTGCGGCTGAAATAGGACGGGACAGAGAACAATGACTTACCCATCGAGATAGACGGCCCAGGAGCTTAAGGGCTGGCTCTAGTCCCGTGGCAGGTTTGGTGACATGCCTACTAGTAGTGTCGTGGGGTGCGAGCTGATGGGAAACAAAGACTGCCACCGGAGTGCTGCAAGATTTGTCCTCGGGGCGTCGTGAGGGCTAATGTGTAGGTCTCTTCAGGATGCCGGTTTTTAGTTAGAACAGGAATTCTCGGTAGCCATACGAGTATGGGTATAAAAAAGGGCTGTAGCGGAGGCTGGGCGATGCTCTCATCCATGTTGTGAGGTCGGCAGGTTCTTGTTTCCCCAAGTCCTAGTGTAGCGAACGTGGATACGTCGAGGACGCATCAAAGCGAAAGCAACTTTCATTCATTGTGCCTTTGACACTACGAAAGTACCAAAGATTTATAAACATGCGAGCTCGGGTCGGGGGATCGCCTGGTTTCAGGCCACTAGGCCGCTCAGAACTCCTCGCCAACCTCGGAATGTTTTGTCGAACGAGCAGGCCTGGACGTGGTGGCATATCTGCGTTTCCTTTTGTTCTCCGTTTTCGGCTTGCATGTGATTTCTGTGTGTCCATATAAGAATGTAGGCAGCGAGCTGGGACATTGTAGCATTAGGGGCTGTCTCAGACGCTTGGCATGTGTCTGGTCATGATGGCATCGAGTCCAGAACCTCAGTCCACCGGGTTCCTTTGACAAGAAATGGGGTCCTGGTGAATACTGCTATGGAGCCATCACTATTTGTTGAGGACCCAAGTGCCACACACAGGTACAAATATTCAGTTACTGACCCTGCAGCACTCCCATATATTGGTCGAAGCAGCTCTCAATACATCTGTGAGACAAAACAAAAAGCTGAGCCAGAGTCACTTACCTAATTCCTCAAGCCTCACAATATGGGTTTCCTCGGCCTTGCCCCCTTCACCAATGCTGGTGCTGTCTATGACCCTGTCCAGCAGGTGCTGACCATCTCAGCCCAGGGTGAAGCCCAGAAGTTCACATACGGTTACTTCTTCAAGCGCGTCGTCCCGTGGGTGGGCGGGCTCCGTTTCGAGCTGTATGCCTGGACCGGCCCCCTCTCCCACGGCACAGAGCCCTTCGAGGTGTCTCAGCCGTTCAATATCCCCAACTTGCAGGTCGGCGACCCCAGCAACACCATCATCTTGGTGGGTTCCAACCACCCCAGCGGTGAGATCATCGAGATCAAGTGGCTTGGTCTCAAACCCCCCGTGGGCAACGGCCAGAGCCTACCAAAGCGCGATAAGAAGCTCTCAACGGACACACCACAGCCGCCTCAGACACTGGATGCCGAGACTCCTGCGAGGATCAACACTCTCTACAAAGAGCCCTTCACCATCAGCGAGAGGGCCTATTCAGGACCCGGAGCCACCTTGAACATGGACTTTGACCCCCAATTCCTGATGCTCACCAGAGCAGGCATCGAAGGGGGAGACCTTGTCTGGACTTTCAACTCGCTCGAGACAGGTATCACCCAGGTTGTCACATACAGTACAGAGGGCCTTGGGACTCCTGTCATCCGCAAGGTCTACACCGTCAAGGTGTTCGTGCTTGACAGCGCAGCCCGGCAGAGCAGCGACAGCAGCCAAGGCAACGGCGTGGTCAGCAACCTGGCCGTGACCAACGGGCAGAACGGCAAGAACGGGGCCACCTCGAAGCCGGACGCCATCCTCAGCTTCCTTGGCCGCGTCTTCGAGGCGCAGCGCATCGCGCAGGGCGCCCTGCCCTCGGCGCGCCTGCTCCGCGTCCAGGCCACCCTCCCCGCCGGGCCGGTCTACCCCGTCACAGACCCGCTACGCCTGTCGCAGCTGGATGTTCTGTTCGTGGGCGACAACAACGAGTATGCCACTGTGAAGTCCACGGGCTGGGGCGAGTGGGCCCTGCCTGTCGTGAAGAAGGGGACGCCGATCGTGGGGCTGCAGACCTTTGCGGTCGAGGACTGCAAGGTCGAGATCACGCAGGCTGACGAGGCGGTCCGCGCTGAGGTGGGCATGAAGGCTTTCTTCGAGGTCACTCTGGCGAGGCCGCTTGGGGCCCCGCAGTACGGTCCCTACAACCCGCTGTATACTTTCCAGATGATTGATACTAGCGTGATCTCTGTGGATGCTGTCACTGGGAAGATTCTCGGAAACTGATTCCAGGAGACCTTCTGTGGGTGTAGGATCTGCGACAAAAGTTAGTACTTGGAATTTAATTGAATATCGTTGAACCTGCCAAATTGAAGTATATACACATATTCGAATGTGCAATTTGCAACCTCTGGATGCATGTGGTTGGAACTCTGAGGTGCGATGAGAAACCAAGTGTAAGTGACCGCAGTTTGGTGTAGTTGGAGCAGTATTACGTAATACAGCCGTTGGGGTAGGATGACGGCATCGCCCTGCCAAAACATTTTGATCTTCTTTCACTGGCCTGGTCCAAGGGAAACGCAGCCCCTTGTAAAGCAACAATGTCGGGCCTCCTGTCTCGCGCGACAACCGACTCGCGCTTCCAGCTCGCCGCGACCGCAGTGATATCAGGAGGCATTGTGGCCGCGGGTCTTCTGAGCTACCAGCGCCTGTCACACGAGCAGAGAGTGTCCAGGCTCAAGGACTCGATACCCAACCCGAGCGACGACCACCCGCTGCAAAAAGTCAGTAGATGTTCCCACTGCCCACCTCGAGACGAAGTACCCAGCACCACACTGAGCATCAGGGTCTTGACGGCGGAGAAGTGCTGATCACTAACAGCAACCCTTGCCCTAATAGCTCACGAGCCTCGGAACGATACCTGCGCCCGACAAGGAAGACATCCGGACCGAGGCACTCGCGCGGCGCGCTCAGGCCGGCGACTTCGACGATGAGCTGATCCTCGAGCAGCTGGCGCGGAACCGCGTCTTCCTGACGCCCGAAGGCCTCGACAAGCTGCGCAGCTCCTTCGTCGTCGTTGTGGGCTGCGGCGGCGTCGGCAGCCACGCGACGGCGGCGTTCGCCCGGTCCGGAGTCTCGAAGCTGCGGCTGGTCGACTTCGACCAGGTCACGCTGAGCAGCCTGAACAGGCACGCGGTTGCAACACTGGCGGACGTCGGATTGCCCAAGGTGCAGTGCTTGCAGAGGCGGCTGAGGGCAATCGCGCCCTGGGTCAAGTTCGACCTGCGCCTGGAGAAGTTTGACGGGGAGAGTGCCGAGAGGTTGCTGGCGCCGTGGGCCGAGGGCGGTTGGAAGCCGGATTTCGTGGTCGATGCGATCGACAACATCGACACCAAGGTCGCGCTGCTCAAGTACTGCCATGACCACAAGATCGAGGTGATCTCCGCCATGGGCGCTGGGTGCAAGAGCGACCCGACGAGGATCATCACCGGAGATATCAGCACAAGCACGGATGACGGCCTGTCAAGGGCGACAAGGCGCCGCCTGAAGCTGCAGGGCGTTACGCACGGCATCGCTGCGGTTTACTCGACGGAGAGGACGTCAGAGGGCAAGGCACAGCTGCTGCCGCTGTCTGATGAGGAGTTCCAGAAGGGTACGGTTGGTGATCTGGGACCGCTCCCCGACTTCCGCGTGCGCATATTGCCTGTTCTCGGAACCATGCCAGCAATCTTCGGGCTCACGGTGGCCAACCACGTCATTCTAAAGATCACAGGTACGCATCGAGCTCCTTCCTCCGTCCCACTTCCACGCCAAAACTTGCTAACCTATCACTCAGGCTATCCTTGCGATTACGTCGAGTCCAAGGCATCAGGAAAGACGCATGACTCTCTGTTCTCTGCGATACAGGCGAACGAGCAGAGGCTTGTAAGGTCAGAGCCAGGGGCTCCGGCTGATATTGCTCTGGGCCTGAGGATACCACTGACCCACGGCGAGGTGGCCTTCCTCGTGGAGGAGATGTATAGGGGTAGGAGTGCGATCAGTGGCCTACCGACGAGTCTTTTCCTCATTAGGTGGAGGAAGCCCCAGGCAAGCATCCTGAAGACACTGGGTGAAGGAGAAGACCAGCAGAGGTGGACAACCCTCCAGATGAGTGACCTTGTGTGCATGACCAAGAAGGAGTTCAAGATACATGAGGAGCAAGTGCTCAAGGGAGGCAAGTCTCCGGAGGATCTGTACGATGCCGAAACCGTCAAGAGGGTCGAGGCCAAGATAGCAGAGGTTGTCGAGTACGAGAAGTACAGGTAATGGTAGCAGCCGCGGTCTTGCAATAAACAAACAATGACCTCTCACAGTGGCTTGAATATCCGGCAAGGGTGATCTTGAGAACACCGAAAACTGCATTGTTGTTCTCTTACGTCCATGCATCCTTTCACTCCGGGGCTGGTGAGGATGTATCCAATCCACTTCGTGCATCGCTGTCACAGCTGCAATTGAAGCTGAAACCCAGCTGTTTCTTTATGGTCCTTTTCTTGGATTTGCCGGCCTCCTTCCAATGTCAAACGATGTGAATCTTCATTCAATACACACCATTAAAAGCCACTTTTCGTCCGAAGTCCCTCAACTCTCCGAGGTCTGGTATCGCTAGATCCAGATCGGGTACCTGCAGGCGCGTCCTGCCCACAACCGCGTACCAACATCATCATACCTGCCTTTCTGAACAACCACCACGTCGATTTCCTTCTAGAAAACCTTCCCGAAACAACAACCTGCGATCGGCAGCAGAATAATCATAGAACGAGCGTTTCCATCTCCAGACATTCTTCGAATTGGGTCCAGGATGGGTTCTTCAGCTCCTGCTAACGGCCACCCCGTCGTGCTTGACAAGGAAAGCGCGACTGGTCAATTCGTGCGAACGGCCGTTTGCCTCTCGGCGATCACACTCAAGCCATTGAAAATCGAAAACATACGGCAGCACCCATCAGCCCAATTGACAGGTAAGTTGTTCACCAGCCATGTCTGGCACTTTCGAGGTTGACAGTCCTCTGTCCCTTTGCTCCTCCTCCTCCCCTCCTTCTCCAGCCTCCTACAACCCTGCACCCTTATGACTACTGACTTGCCAATCGCCAATAACTGACGACCCATGGCTGCTGCAGTCTTTTCCATAGTGACGACCTGCTGACCATGACTCACTACAGGAACAAACAAGCCGGGAATGACGGCAGACCTCGTGGCGATTGTCAACTGGCTTGCCGAGCAAACCGGCGCGGAGATCATAGGCAATGTCATTGAGAGCAGAACCCTCGAGTTCCGGCCCAAGTACCGTCCATCAACAAAGCAGATAACGCGCAGGGAGATCAAGATCGACCCCGGCTCCATGCTCGCCAGCTCCGTTCTGCACTTCCAGACCATCCTCCCATTCCTGCTCTACATCGGGAGCCAAGACCCCGGCAACGGCAAGGCAATAGAGCTCAGACTCAAGGGCACGACATACTCGCCCGGCACCCCAAGCTTCGAGTACATCGACCAGGTCTTCCTGCCAGCCCTCCGCGACTACTTCGGCGTCGAAATCATCTGCCAGCTTGTCAAGCGCGGATGGGACAGGATGACCCGCAAGTGCCTCCAGGAGGGAACGGTGCGCTTTAAGATTCGCCCGCGCAAGGCCGGCACGACCCTTTCCCTTCGACCCAATGCCAAGTTTTGCGACGATGAGGATGTGGCGGGCTCTGTCGACAGCGTGTTGACCAGCGTCGATGTGACCATTGTCACTCCTCCGGTGCTGCATGAACCGCTGCAAACGCACCTCCAGGGGGACATCGAGGCTCGATTTGGAAACATCGATATCGAGTTCAAGTTGGAGGAGAGCGGCCATGACGACAGGGTCTACGTGCTACTCGTGGGCAAGTCTGAGCGTAGGCAGCCCCTTGTCTTTTGTTCCTGGCGACTACTAACCTTTCATCCTTCTAGACTGTCGTTGGGGACGGGACTACCTGATGGCCCAACCTCTGAAGGACTCGACGATTCTTGCGCTGTGCAAGGAGATTTCGAGTCAGGTCTGCAAGGATTTGGAAGACGAGGGTGAGAAACAGAATCCAACAAGAGAGCACCTAGCAGCTGAGAGCTCAAGGCCCACGCTCCCGTTACCAACAATACAATAGCTAATACCGGTGCTGACACATGATGTACGCAGTTAACAGCGAACGTGCCGTCGACATACACCTGGAGGACCAGCTGGTCATCTACCAGTGCCTGGCCGAGGGCCGGACATGCTTCGACTCCCTGACTGCCGGGGAAGCAGCCAACTCGGACTCGTCTACAACCCAACTCTCCAAGGCTGCCGCGGTTGCTCTCCTGCCGAGGGCAAAGTACGATGGCAAGACCTGCATCGGCGCAGGTATGGTGGTTGGGCAGCTCTAGTGTGGAGCACAGCATTTCTCAGCATGAACAGTGTGATAGGTCCATTATCAATAGAATACACCGCCGACTTGATGTCGGGCTTTTGAGGCTCAGCGGTGTGTTTCTGGGTGTTCAAGATTGGTCGCTCTTTCGTTGCACTCTAGCGCTTAGCCGTGTATCTATTTGATGTCGTGGGCCTCCACATAGGCCAACCCGAGGATGACGGGCGTGCAAAAGCACAGACAACATACATCAGAGAAGAATTACACCTTGCGAGACGTCAAGAACTTGAAGGAACTGAAATGAATTACTTCCCGTCACATTCTATTCTACACCCAGGGTCCCCGCCATTGTCGCAGAGAGCCCTTTTGCTCTGGTACGCAAATGCATACAATTGCCAGCACTGTGATGGCCAGCATTGGGAGAGCCACAGCAAGTCCGATCTGCCAGGTATCCATGTCACCCTTGCTCAAGCTTTCTCTGGAGAATCTTTCACTTCTTTTTTTAGATAATGTTCTACGGAGCAAGTCATCATATGACGATCTGTTGATCAAGAGATCTATGGGTCTGTTTTTCAATGGTGCACTCCAGAGAGGGCTGTGTCCCCGGATGACTCAAGCTTGGGGGAGCTAGAGGCAATGCCTGATAAACCGCCCAGTCACTCTGAGGTGGAAGTGAACTGGAATGCCTGGCCTGTGGCTGTGACACTGATTGGACAATTGGAATGAGATTGGTAATGCTGTTTGTCATTACCCAGCTGATTGTGCAAGCTGGGCCGAGTCGGAATGATTGTCGACTTCAGGGCCTAGTAAGTTGTGAGTCCCATTCAACCCTGCTTGACTGTACCTCAAGTCTTGGCTTTGACAGGGTCGTTGAATTGCCGAGTCCCTGGGGAATACAGTAGCTGTTGTGGAACCCGCAGAGTCTCCGGGAGCTACTACCTAGGTAGAGTCTAGCACAAATCCAAACAGCCTCGCCAGCCTAGTTGGTCTAACCCGCTGGATTTCCACTCAACAATCTGCAATTTGTCTTGCCACCAATCACAAACAACACTCCCACAAAGCCATGATGATTCGGTTGATTCCATTTCGCCATTAAAGTCCCGAGTTCAGCTCGATCGGAGCACCCACAGCATTCCAAGGCCAGGTGGGGGGCGGTGTATCTTTTGAAGCCGAGGAGCAAAATCCAGTTTTCGAGAGGCCTAGAACGCAGAGCCCCGGGGTGAGTCCGGAGGCAGGCTGCAGGCTGCAGGCTGCAGGCTGAAAAGGCTTCAATCCTGCTAAGCTCTCTCGGCCCCTCCGTCCAAGGTGGACGCCCTGGCCGGTTTTTGCTTCCCCGGGTGGGTGCCCACGGCGGACGGGCCAGAGGGTGAGCCACGACCCCGAAAAATAGGGTACCGGAAGACAAGAAAAGCGGGACCGGCAAGCAAACAGGGAAAATGCACAACACACACCGCACCCAACGCCTCCGGGGGTGAAGGGGGGAGCCGGAGGGGGGAATGGGGACCCCCAACTCAAGTTCCAACTCGGGAGGACCAGAATGCTTCTCTGCAATTTCAGAGCAATCGACCGATGGCCCCCTTTGTGGGCGAGATCAGCCGAAATTCGGGCAAAAAAAAAGGGGGCGGGCTTGTGATGAGGACCGGCGCCCTCGATGGCAACGCCGCATCGGCCGGATGCCAGCCAGTGCGCCCGACCGCCTCTGCCTGCCTGCCACTGCAGCAAGCCCCCGGCGCAGTCCAACAGGCTGAGGCCCCGCTGCTCCTTGCCCTGCGCGGAACTGGCTGACTGGTCAACCCCCGGATCGGTGCCGATATACCCCTGAGATTGGCGAGCCCAGCGCGCTGCTCTTGATTTCCGGCCGCGAAGCTTGGCCTCGGGGCGTCGAGGTCGATGGCGGTCGATTTTCGAGTCGAGATGGGCCTCGAACTGGGACGGTCAGCCCGGGGCGGCGTTGTGGGCTCTCCTCGGCGCTTGCTGGCGCTTGTTCCCTGGTCATGAGCGAGGCTTTGGGAATCTTACCTAATTGCACAAGGAGGGCGGTGACAGGGTCGGATATGCAGTCATGGTTGAGATCACCGTTGTGTCATGCTAATGAATCGCACGCAAAGGCGCTGCTTCTGCCCATGCTTACGGTTTTACTTTGACAGCCTCCATGGGTGTTGTGGCGTTCTCAGGTTGGAAGGGACCAATATCGAAAGACGAAGAATCGAAACGCTTGGCCAGGTCCAAAAAGGGCTGACTGAGTGGTCGTTTCGAAAATCAATTGCGGCGTGTTAGTTGGTTGGCTGAGGGGGGGGGGGCGATAGAAACCCATTTTCGACGCCACAGTCGTCCTCCCCATGGCCGCCACACCGTTCGTCCGATGTTGACCCTGACAAGGGGCTCCCAGCGCAGTTGGTGGTGCTAGTACCACAGACCCCAATGCTTATTCACATTTGGTGTGAAACCTTGTGTTTTGTTTTGGGCCGTTTCACAGGCATAAAACAATTGATTATGTGAGTTGGGGGCTTACAACCTGGCCTCGGTCCAACATCTGGTCGACAGCCGGCCGTCCTGTCAGGCCCGGACGAGTAGCGAACCAAGCATAACTTGAGCCTCTTGACCGACCTCTTTGTGGCCCCCTATTCTCACCATCCTCCTTTGCCGCGGCCATGAGAGCTCTTTCCTTTGCAATTGCCCTCATAGGCTGGCCACCCATGAGCTGATCGCTGGCAAAAGTGGACCGCTTGGCGACCTGCACCATTGTAGGGCCCATGATTCGCGCCTATCGGGCCCAGCCCAAAGCATCCAGAACTCGACACCTCCCAAAAGGCGCGCGTCTATCTCCTTGGCAGCCGGCCTATGGGCGAAGCCCTCAAGGTTTGAGGCAGGACCGCCCACGGGTGGGTTTCTTGCACGCAAGTAGTTGTGCTCCGGGGCCAGCTGGGCTGGGTACACAGTAGCCACTCTCTTGTCCGTACGAAACCTGAGGACCCTCGTATCGAATATTTATTGTGGACGGGGGCAAGTCTCCCCCACTTTTACATATTAAAGTGTAATTTTAGTAGCGCCATTGAAACAATCGACGTCGACGGGTCTTTACCCCTGTGTCCGTGTGTCCAAGTGTCCCAACGGCGCACCTCGAGGGCACCTGGGTATTGGTATAAAGCCTCAAGGCCGGTCCTGCTCATTGCACACCCTCTCCTCCAGGAAACACTCGACCACTCACAGCCCCACCCCCCGACGCATATCACTCTTTACATGCCCTAGGTGGTTCACTGCTCATACAGTCCTTTCCGCTCTTTAGCAGTCGTCATTCATTGAAGCTTGTTAGCATCATACACACGTGCGCACGTACACACACACACACACACACACACACACACACACACACACAAACCCATCCTCTCCCAAGATGAAGTACTCTCTCTCTACCTGCCTCGCCGTCATCGGCATGGCCTCGGCTCACTCTTGGGTGGAATGCACCGACCACGACAACAAGGACCTCCTGCAAAAGATGATCGCAGGCTCCCAAAAGACGCCCGCAGAGCTGATTGACCCAGTGTAAGTGCTGAACCAACCGCCTCCGCCCCCCAAAGGGTGCCCTGGCCCAGGGCAGACACACGAAGAACCCTGTAGCTGATCATGGTCCTTCAACAGCTTCTTCCCCGACAAGTGCCGCGGCTGGCCTCGCGCCAAGGCCAACCCCGGCGACTGGATCGACGAGTCAACCAACTTCTCATGGAACATCGCCGCCAAATCCTGGGAGGGTGACCGTTCCGCCTGCAACCCCTCGCAGCGCAGCCCTGGCCAAGAGGCCAACGCCCCCATGGCAACCGTCAGCCCCGGCGGCACCATCAAGCTGAGGTACGGCGGCAACGGCCACACTCGTGGCGCCACCGCCGGCGCCAACAACGACCCGGGCCAGGTCAGCGTGTACTGGGCCGGCGCCAAGGAGACCGAGATCCAGACCATCGACGAGTTCACCGACGCCAACCGCATCGCCCAGGCCGGCTTCGCCGACGACTCCTTCTCGTACCCCGCCGACCCCAGCATCATCAGCGCCGCGCAGGGCCTCGTCGACAAGGGCAACTGGATGGACGTCACCATGCCCACCAACATGGAGCCCGGCAGGCACATGCTGGCCTGGGTCTGGAGCTACGACGGCGCGCCGCAGTGGAGCACCTGCTTCGACGTGCAGATCCAGGCATAAGGGGGCGCAAGTGGGGGAGGGCCCGCCTGAGGAGGAAGGGTCATGAGCGATGCGAGAACGAGATGTGGGTCTTTTTTGGTGGAGTCGGAGTTCTTCCAAAAATCTGGGACGGCCATACAGGACAATTTGCGATTTCCTTTGATTCTGAGATTTCTTGTGCCATTTACTTTGCTTCTTGCTTCCTTGCTTTTCGCTGTTCCGAGGCGTAGCGGGAGGTGGTTGGTTTCGTTCACTGCGTGCCCCATTGAGGTGCAGACTTTGGGTTCAGGGAATCGGGCACGTCCTGCTCGGGTTGTATTTCGTGGGCGTCTTGTTCGCATAGCTGAATTATTCCAACGGTTTTTTTTTTTTTTTTTTTTTTGAACATACCCATCCGCCAGAATATAGAACTCGCTCTGACTCACAGATCCTGTCCATATGACTTGTGTGTTGTGTTTCCCCAGGCTGGCGAGTGATGCTGGGCTTCGACGACCGTTTCCGCCATCATGAACAATGCTTCACGACAGCTGCACGACTTACCTCGGGTGGTAAGCTCGTCCAGGTTGCGGCTCTTCGGAGATTTCCCTTCGGGGAGTTGTCGAAATTGAACTTGGCCAAATGCCATGGTGCATGCGTGACTTTCTCATCGGGTTCAGAACATAGGCGACGTCACAACGGTCTATGACAAGTCAGGCCAGTGATTAGCAAATTCCCATGGATGCAAGGTTTCACGGTCAAAGAACCAATACTGAGCACCATTGCCCTCTGTGTGAGAATGATCAGCTTCGTAATTGTCAGCTACAAGCCCTGACTTCTTTGTACATACTCCATGTCGTGCGCATACCACCTCAGTCGTCGTCCCTCTGGAATCCTTGGCGGCCGCGACCGATTCTGTCCGCCAGAGACCCATTCCCTGCCGCGTTGTGAAGCTTGTGTGCGAACTCCCGGCCTCCGTACTTGGATGAATTCGCTCGGGCTCGGTCATCAGCCTCGCGATCTGCCTGTTCCTTTTCCGCCAGAGCTGCGAGACGGGCTTCCCTGGCTCTGTCCAGGTCTGTGGCATCATTCTGCATGGCCGCAAGCTTCCTTGCCCTCTCCTCCTCATCATCGCGGTTTTCGGTGCGGCGTGCTCCCCCGTTGAGATCGCGTTGAGAGCGTTTCCGGTTTGGGGAGTGTCTCCTCTCCTTGACTTCCCTCCGATCCTCCGAGTCGTACCGCCGAATGTCTGAATACTCCCTTCTCGGTGGCCTCTCCCCGTCGTCGTCACCAGAGTCATTACGCCGCCAAGCCCGAGACCCATCGCGAGAGTCTGAACGGCGACTCCTGTGGCGTCTTCCACTGCCCGAATCGTCATCATCGCGATGCGTGGGTGGCGATCTGTCCCGTGAGTGTGAGCGCCGCCTCTTGCGCCGCCTTTCATGGTCTGATTCGTCGTCGTATCGACGGGGGCTTCGCGATCTTTCTCTCGAGTCCTCTCGCCGGCGTCTGTGACGATGTTCGCGCTCATAGTCATCATCCCGGTGACGATGATGCGACCTGTGGCTGCGATGCCTGTGCTCCCTATGCTCCCTGTGCTTCGATTTGGGCTTTTCTTCCACAATTCCCATTTGCGCCAGAAGTTGCCGGCGTTTGGAGGGATCCCTCATCATGGCCTGATATGCGCCTTGTTCCTGCCTCTTGATCGCCACGAGAGGATCTTCACGTATCTTGGCTGCCGTGTCTCGCGCCGAGGCGATGACTGGGACAGGACCCGGGGTTTCGCCAGTCGGCCCTGCGGTCTTCTCCACCTTCTTCATGTCGTCGCCTCGAAGGACGGAGTCGATGCGTCGCTTGCCGAGGAGGAATGCTTCGCTCGAGTATTCGTCGCGCCCGCCGTCGTTAGGGCCTTGATACATCCATTCCACACGATCAACCTTCTTCTGGCCCCCAGCAGCCTCGAGCTGCTTCTGGGTCTCCTCGATCTGTCGCTCGCGCCTGATTTCTTCGAGCCGGGCTTCGGTGAGCTTTCGTTCTTGCAGCGCTGCCTGCTCGGCGTCGTAAACGCGCCGCTGGTTGGTCATCAACTGGGGATGCCATGATTTCTTGAGGTTGAGGTCGTTGCCTCCCATTTTGACTTAATATGAATGCGAAATTGTGTTGCAGTAGGCAGGTTGGTGTCGGGAAAAGACCCAGTGTAGATGGCTGTATAGTGGGTGGTAGAGGAAGGGAATTAGGACGAGAATGACGGTGGCGGAAAAGCCAAGGCAGACAGCCAACTGAGTGGGGCCGTGCACTGCGTTACCTCTGGGGGGCAGCCAGCAGCAACGGCGGCGATAAGCCCCACAGTCTACCTAGGTACCCCTGGCCGCTTGAGCCCCTCAGCCTTACAGCGTTGGCACGGGCCCTCATCAACCTGGAGTTGCCATTCATTGCCCTCTCAACCCGCCCAAGGCAGGCAACGTCCACCCGTTTGTGAACTCCATCGATCGTTTGCAACTTCACCCACACCTGTGGTTCCTCACCAGCAGAGCATCACAATTACCCCCGAGCCAATATTCTTCCTTAGACCACTTCATCGCTACGGATTTTGTACCAGCAGTACGTCTACCAGGATTATCAACATGTCGGACGACGACTTCATGCAGGAGTCTGATGAGGAGTACGACTTCGAATATGACGACGACGACGACAACGAGGATTCCGGAGATGTCGACATCGAAAACAAGTACTACAACGCCAAGCAACTGAAGGTCACCGACCCCGAAGACGCAATCAAGGAGTTCCTCGAGGTACCGGGCCTGGAGCAGGAGAAGGGCGACTGGGGCTTCAAGGGCTTGAAACAGGCCATCAAGCTAGAGTTCAAGCTGCAGCGTTACGATGAGGTTTGTCACGGACGGCGCACAGGATGGGCGGCACACTGACCATCACTGCAGGCCATCAAACATTACGCGGAGCTTCTCACCTACGTCAAGTCCGCCGTCACGCGCAACTACTCTGAGAAGTCCATCAACAACATGCTGGACTACATCGAGAAGAGCTCCGACGCCAAGGGAGCTGCGCTGTGCATGGAGAAGTTCTATTCGCTCACCCTGGAGTGCTTTCAGACAACCAACAACGAGAGGCTGTGGCTGAAGACAAATATCAAGCTCGCCAAGCTGCTGCTGGACCGCAGGGAGTACCCATCCGTTAATAAGAAGCTGAAGGAGCTCCACAACGCCTGCAAGCGCGAGGACGGCAGCGAGGACTCTAGCAAAGGCACCTACCTGCTTGAAATCTACGCCCTTGAGATCCAGATGTACGCCGAGACGAAGAACAACAAGCAGCTCAAGCTCCTGTACCAGCGCGCATTGAAGGTGCGCTCGGCCGTGCCACACCCCAAGATCATGGGTATCATCCGGGAGTGCGGCGGCAAGATGCACATGAGCGAGGAGAACTGGAAGGACGCGCAGTCGGACTTCTTCGAGTCTTTTCGTAACTACGACGAGGCTGGAAGTCTGCAGCGCATCCAGGTCCTCAAATACCTCCTGCTCACAACCATGCTGATGAGGTCCGACATCAACCCCTTCGACAGCCAGGAGACGAAGCCGTACAGGAACGACCCGCGCATCGCCGCCATGACCGAGCTGGTGGACGCCTACCAGCGCGACGACATCCACAAGTACGAGAGCGTCCTCCAAAAGAACCAGGACCTGCTGGCCGACCAATTCATCGCCGAGAACATCGACGAGGTCACGCGAAACATGCGCACCAAGGCCGTCCTCAAACTCATCACCCCCTACACTCGAATGCGCCTCTACTGGGTCGCCAAGCAGCTGCGGATCAGCGAGGCCGAGGTGCAGGACATAATGGGCTTCCTCATCATCGACGGCAAGATCAACGGCAAGATAGACCAGCAGAGGGGCGTCCTGGAGATCAACAGCGACCGCGACGCCGAGCGGATCGGCGCCATCCAGCACCTGTCCGATGCGCTTGCCGAGCTGTACACCACCGTCTTCAAGGATGGCGACGGCTTCCGTAATTCGGACACGACCGTTGCCAGCGACGGGGCGGACCTGGGGGGCGGCTTCTTCGAGCCGTCGATGGGATCACGTCGCGAGGGAGGTAGAGCCGCCGGACACGTCCCGAGGGCTCGCAGAGTACCCAGGGAAACATTTGGTCCGGCATAGTGCGTCCCGTCATAATCTGCGCACCAGCGATAGGAGACGAGATGGCCTGCTCTTAAGCAGGCCTTATGTAGGCGACCTGTTCTCAACCAGGAATCATTGCACCTGGTCATTTTGGTCAAGCGGCACACCACAAATGAAGGATACTGCCCATTGCGGCTGTGGTTCCGATGGAGATCCGAGCAGTCAACACCCTGAAATAGACAGCCACATATTGATGCCACCCCGGGACTTCGGCCCGTTTATACCATGCACAGTGAGAAGTGATTGGCGGCACGCCGCTGGGCGCCCACGGGATTTCCCAGCTGGCCTACTTGGCCTGCGCACTGCCGTCGTCAAATATCGAATGCAGGAACCTGCAAGAACACATCCCATTGCAGCCCACGCACCGCCGCTCACTCGCTCGCACTCTTCCTTCCGCGAGCGGAGCAGGGCATGCTGCCCCTGCACGGCAGGTAGCCTAATAAGTGGCAGCGGAGCAGGATCCTACAATCTAGATGCGACTCGTATTCCGCGTCCCGCCTTGCACGGGGGGTTTTGCACTGTGGAAGCTCGAACTGTCCAGGGGGAAGGGGGGCGAGCCTGTACTTAGCCTTCTGCTGATCAACGGTTGTTTTCTGATGCCTCGATGGGAGATTCAATTACCGCGGTTGGCCAAGAGGCCAAGCCGGTGTGGTGTTTTTTTGGGGGAGCTGAACGGCGGTCCCAACGGAGTAAGATAGTACGAACGCCTCCCACTGACCGACCACGGCGCCGCCCGGAAGCAGCATTGATCTCCATCACCATCACCACATGAGCATGGCAGAGAAAGAGGGCCTGGGAAAGGACACGCACATACGCACACATGCGGTAAGGATCCAGCGCGAGAGAACGCCAACGCTATGATTTCAGGAATTACATTACCTCCCGGCCAGAAAGCCACGGCCGATCCGGCCATAATTACAAACTGCCTGCCTTGCCCTGCCCTGCCCTGCCTTGTTTGCCTTACTACCACCCTCCCTTTCCCAAAAGAAGCACAGAAAAGCAGAAACGCCAGAAAACAGTTTTTCTCGCTTCCAAATGGACTCTGGAAAGACTGGAGACCGAGACCGAGAACCAATAAAAGAAGACCTGGGCCACGTTGGCCTCGCGCAGCAAAGGCAACGTCGTCTGAAAATGCAGAATCACTTGCCACTCCAATCCCCCCCTTCCTCCGGGTGGCGCCTACTTGCTACGCCCTCCGAGAATGGCCCAAGACTTTTGGTTCTTTGCAAATGAGAAAGCGCCGTTTCGCTTGTGTGTGCCAGGGGTTGTTCGTGCCATCTCCCCTCCTTTGTCTGCCACCGGGCCGTTTCCTGGGTCTGAACCCTCGTGGCTCAGCCTTCTTTCAATCTACAGGCGCCCCTTTTGAAATCCTCACATAACACTGACTGGTCAACGTATCCTCATCGGCGGCAGCTTTTGTGGCTCTTGACCCTCGCGCGCCCGCTCTGTGATTGTCATTTCTCGGCTTTCGTATCCCCGCGACCCGTGCTGTCGTCAGACGAAGAATGACCTGCTTTGTGGTGGCCCTTCTTCTTTCCTGGCCGTTCGCACCTCTCGATCCAATCATCGTAGCCGGGCCTGTACTCTTCTGGTTGGAAATTGGGATTGTTGTAGTGAGCGGTGTTGAAATGCGAATTCTTGAACGTGTTCGTCTGAAGTGGCTGCTCTGGCCAGGCATTGGTGTCCATCGGCTCCGCGTACTGATACCGGCTGAAACGGATCTCGTGGGTCGTCGAAGGGCCAGGGATGGACTGCGCCGGTAGGGAAGTCTGCTGCGATGGTTGCGGCTGTGCCGGGGGAGTGGGCGACGAGTCTGCATAAGGTGAGGAGAACCATGGCGACTGTGGGCTGGACGGGTAGTCCAGTGAAGGTCCTGTCAGCTGTCCCATGGAAGACACCGGCCCGACAGTTCCAAAACCCGGTATCAAGGCTAGAGGGTTGGTGAGGCTGAACGTGTCTTGAAACTGTGGGCCAGCACTTTCATGGTACGTGGGTGCGTAAGCCATCCGGTTGACTTGTAAAGTGGTGCTGTTCGTCGTCGTGGGCTTGTATAAGATATCGTAATGCCCTGGACGGTAGAGGAGATGTATGAATGGACCTATGTTGTTGGGATCTCCGTCTGGGAATCGGTGGGTGTTGACCTGGCTCCCTTGACTGCGGTCGAGGTAGGCGATCTCGAGTGTGAACCCGACTGGTTTTAGCAGTACCTCAACTAAGAGCACCACGCCCAGTTCCTCGATCTCGCGCTGGGCTGGCTCAATCACGGTCTGCGCGTAGGTCTCCGGGTCAGCCTCGCACCATCCCGCGTACTGGTCTCGATTGCCCCTCAGCCATGCCCCAGCAAGCAGCCGGAGATGGAACAGTATGTTCATGGAGGATAAGTCGTTAAACTTGGTAGTGAGAACGGCCATGGCTGTGTCATGGTCATGTATGCTGTCGGAGATCTGCTTGAGGAGCTCGAACGTGTCATCTACGAAGTCCACAAACAGATCCGGATCGTAGTTGCCGCTATTTACGAGGTAGTCATTAAGCTGAGTAAGGCGCAGACGCTCCCCGTCGACAATCTCCCGGCTGCCCTGCTGGATGAGCAGCTCGAAGTAGCAGAACCCAATAGCTTGACAAAGGTCAGCAACTGCACAAGTCTATTTGGCACAGGGGTGGTTGTCCGCGGGAAGGATGCTGACGATGTGACCAAATTTGGCCCGGGATATGACAATTAGGAACGCCCTTGCGTGACAGGGCGGGGAGAGGGAGGTGGGGGCCGATCCGGCGAGATTGAGGGAGCTCCGTAGCTTACCTCTCCAGCCACAGTTGCCGTCTCCTTTGACGGGTCTGTAGTGTGAGTATGTCTGGGGGAGGGCCTAGGTGATCGTCAGCGCCGTTGCAAGACTGCCAAATCATCACTGGCCTCGCCAGGATTGGCATGGCTGGCGCTGGGGGAAGAGAGAGGGAATTGAGGGATGCTCACCATTGTCTTGTCAACATAGACCGGGTCTGCCTTTGCATACTGCTCTGTGATGGCAGTAATTGTGGTCCTGTCGCCGAGTAGGGGCCCCTGGTACGGATCCGGTGTGGTTAGCCGAGGAAGCTCCCTCGAGCTGCACAGATCTGGGCGACAAGAGCTATCACGGGCTGCGCGGGACAGAAAGACAGGCAAGGGCGGGATTGTGAGCAAGAAAACGTACCTCGACCTCGGGCTCCCAGGTCCTAGCTGCGGCCTCTTGGGCGGCGAAGTCGTCGGGCAGGCCCTGGTTCTGCTCCATCTTGACGTGGGACGCTGAGCTGTGACTGGGAGAGTAGTGCTGCTGTTGTTGCTGCTGCTGCCGCTGCTGCTGCTGCCGCTGGAGGGATGGCTGCTGCCGGTGGTCAAAGAGGCTGGGGGCTCCGGGTTGATGGTGTTGATGTAGAGGAAGGGTGCTGTGGAAAGGGAACACGGGTAGCGGGGCAGAGCGGACGTCGACAGGGACCCCTGCAGCCCCGCCATGAGCATCATGGCATGAGCCGCCGGCTGGTCCAGGGCCACTTGCAGGGGGCCCCGGCGCCCCAGCCTGTGGCCCAGGCCCACCCAGGGACAGAGACGCAAAGGGCGCCTGCGGGTAGGTGCTGTACCCAGCGGCTTGCACGCCGCCGAACCCGTCACTCAGCCCATCATCCTCGACGCCGACGGGAAGGTAGGCAGGGTAGAAGGACGAGTACGGTGTCGGCTGCGGCTGGAACATGCCTGGATGACAGTACCTGAGCTCGAAGAGGGGGCAACGCGAAGAAGGATCAGACCCAGGCCGGACAGGGCCAGACAGACCAAGCCAGACAAACCAGCCCAATTAAGGGCAGGCGCAGAGGCAGGTCAATCAGGTGAAGCGGTCGGGATCACCAGCCACTGTATATGGTCCTGTGCTGTCGACCGTTGAACAAGCAAATGTCTTTGTCCTGCTTGCTCTGTCGCATGCAGCCTGTCGTTGAACTGCCGCCGGGGGCGACCGATCCGCTGTTGGATAATAAGTATCAGTCCGTCTGTGAAAGACCTCGTCAGTTTTCATCCTCTCACACTCTCACATGCGCGGACACGCACACGCACACACATGCACACGCACAAATGACAAGAGGAACGGCGCCAAAAGAAGCAAGTCACGGTCAGAGCTTTGGGCATCGCAGCAGAACAGATGAATCATGTAGTGAAGTTGGACGTACGGCCGTTGAACAAGACCCTAGGCAACACAGCCTGCGCAGAGCGGTTGTGATAGATCCCGACCCGGGAGATTTGTCAGGACGTAGAGGTCCGCATGTGTATAGGTGTGACGGGGAGATGGGTGCAGCCGGTCGGAGAAAGCAGCAGTTGAGAGGTTATGTTGACAGTCAGACGGCAGGCCAGGCCAGAACGAATTCGATGGAGGGAAGCGAAGACAAGAAGAGAAAAAAAAAAGGTAGACCGTGGTTCGGAGCAGGAGTATCGGCTTGACAGCCCAGAGAGGAGCAAGATAGAGGCAACCACCCCAACAGAGAGCAGCCGAGGCCGGAACGTTGTTGACGGACCACGTCGGCTTTGGGACCAAGGTCGGGGGCAACGACGGTGTGCGAGGTAAGAGAGGTAGAGCAAGGTCGGGCTCCCTTTCGAAGGTGACACGGTGACGGTGATGGCGACAGTGGGGCCGAAGGATAAAATACGGTGCTGATGCGTGCAGCAAGCACACGAGATTTGACAGCCTCTGTGGCCTGCTGGTTGTCTAAGCCGGACCAAGGATCGCGGTAGTGCTGACTGTGTGTGAGTCGTGAGGAGGGTCAAGAGACACGCAAGACCGTGACCCCAGCAAGTACTCAAATTAGACAGATACCTTGGGAGCGGCACAGGCACACACTCTCGAGATCCGATGCGGAGCAGGTGTGGTGGGCACACCCAGAGAAACTGCGTTGCAGAATGCGTTGCAGGAGGGCGGGCGGCAAGAGTGTGTTGTTGATATTGCGTCTAGTAGTTGAAGACTATGGAGAAAGGGCAACGACCCCAAGACATCCAAGGCAGAAAGAAAGTTTGGAAGCTGGAGTGCTTATACGAGAGGAGCTGGGGATGTGAGAGGCCAAGGGTCTTTGGCTGCCCTGCTCGGTTTTTTTCCCTTTCCTCCTCATTGAATGCTGCATGCACAGGCAGAGAGGGAAAGCGAGAGAGAGAGAACGAACATCCCAACCCATCCCATTCTCATCAAACCCCGAGCAGGGCGGCGACGCACTGACCCGCGGGAGTAGCCAGTGAATGGACAGGGAGCCTCCAGGTTGGGAGCGTCAACGACTGGACGGATCAGCTGGCAAGGGGGCAAGCAAGCTCTCAGTGTCTGGCTGGTCGACGATGGGCTGGGCTGGATGGGCCGATGCTGGCGATGGTGCTGGTGCCGGAAGGGTGTCGATAGAGAAAGCGACTTCTGGTTGTCTGGCTGGCTGGCTGGGCTGGGCTGCGTGTCTGTCTGGGTGATCGCCACGGGCCAAGAAAGGAGCCCTGTCCATGGTGCTGGTCTCGTCTGATGAGGATGCCAGATGCCAGACGACCCGCTGCCCGCGGCAGCCCCATGGCCCTGAGCCTGAGCCGGAGTCTGGCCCTGAGCCTGGGTGAGCCCGAAGCCTACCTAGGTACGTCCGTGGCCTGTCCCGGGAATCTCTAGCGGCATTGACGAGGGGCGCTCGGCTGGGGAACCCCTGGCTGAGGTTGCTGTCGTGTGGGAGCTCTCCTGGTCAGGGGTTCTCGGAGCGAGACGTCGATAGCAATCTTGGGACGCCTGGACGTCTGGATGCCGTGGAAAATTGTGGACGGCGGCCGATGAGTGGCCAACCAATCTGGGACGTCAGGATACTTTCTCTCGGCCGTGTGTGCGGTGTGTGTGTGTGTGTGTGTGTGTGTGTGTGTGGATGGCGATGGATGCATAAGACCAATCGGTTCGGCAGCTCGAGGAATGTTCCCTGGAGAGGGCGAGGACGATGGCGGGCGTGATGGTGATGGCGATAGTGCTCCGTTGCCCTTAATCCTCCCGTTCCTCGATCGCTGCTGCTGCTCCTTCTCCTCCTCCTCCCGCCGCCACCAAGCATCACCCACTGGAGGGGGGCTGGCTTGCTGGTCCAGCTTTCAGCTCGCAGACTGCTTCCCTCGGCTGGGTTTTGGACGGCCCAGTCAATATCGATGCCTCTTCCCCTACACTACAAGCACACACGGCCTACACGGCGAGTAGGGCAGGGCCTAGCTAGCCATGTCCAGCAATCTCGGCAACAAGACGACATTCCCAAGGGTCGAGCATTGCCAGGGTCGGCTAGTGCTCAGGTTAGCTGGTTAGTGGGCGATCCTTCCATCCACACGTGCAAGGTCTTCTGGCGTTAGTTGTTAGGCCCGGACGGGGGCAGCAACGGGGGCAGGCAACACTGCCCGCTGCCCAGGCCAGGCCCGTCGGTGGTTTGCTGGCTTGAGGTTTCAGAACCCACACCCTGCGACCGCGACCCTCCGCCGCGTCGTCCGCCCTTGGCCTTTCTGGGTTTTGGTCGCCTTTTCCATGCCCCTCCCCCCCCCGGTCTGTTTGACTTCAATCGAGCCATGGAAGACACACGAGAATCTGGTCCCGTCATGATTCATTATGCGCAAGCTACCAGGTTGTTCTCGCCTGCCGTGCTCGGATTGAGGGCTCTGGCCTGCTCGAGCGCCACTGTCACGGTCGCATTCATGCAACTCGATTCCCCGTAACTCTGGTGCAAATTGACGCCTCCAGGCCTCAACCTCCCGCCGATTCATCAGTGGCAGCATGGTCGACATTCCGGTAATCCAGTAATCCCACATCACAAAAGGTCCATCATCAGCCAATTCATCCGTGCGCCACCGTTTACCCGGCCCTGCCATCCTGGCTGGCGTCCATCGGCACGGAACGTCCATCTGTGCGTGCTCAGTCTCTGGGCCCGGCGTGGCGCCAACCAGACAACAAAGAGCCCGCCGTGCCAGATCCCGAGCCAGAGCCAGGGGCAGACAAGATCACCTCGAATCTAATCCACGATCCAACGGTGCAATCCGCCCGCAGGCGGCCGAGGACACAAAGCTAAGCTAATCGACGGGATCACGGTCACCCAGCACAGCACGGCCAGTGCCTGCCTGTCCATGTGCGCCGGCCTCTCGTCGCACGCACACAGGCAACCCGTAGCACACAGACATGGCCGGCTGCCATGCACTCCACCCAGGAGCCGGGCCATGAGGTCTACCCTACAAGCCTGCATGCCTGCAAGCCGGGTCGCACACAATGCCATAATGCCTGTATGGTAGATCCCGGGAAGCTCCCGTCCTTCCCGATACCAGACGTCTGAGCAAGCTGGCCCTGGACAGCTTGTCGTCTCATCAACAGGCAGAGCTCCATGCTTGCGGACCCATCATGCACATCACATCACAGCGCAGCGCAGCGCAGCGCAGGACAGCACAGCAGAGCACAGCACAGCAGAGCACAGCAGAGCAGCCACATATAGGTTATCATCTTGCAGAACGTGGGATCAATAACAACCCCCAACTTGTCATCATCGCCTCATAGCAATAGTCGCCAATGATTGACGCCCGGCAGGTCGGCAATATGCACGCGTTTCTCGCCTCCGCTCCGTTCCGGAAAGCAACACTTTCCATCCCACATTCCTGCGGTCGATTGTTCTCTGGCTTTCTGGCTCACCAACCAAGGAACACATGCCGTCCATATTGAATGCCACTATTCGGGCACAGACGAGACAGGCCTTTGTGGGGCCTCGCCTCTCAGCCAATGCTGTAGCTTCGTCACTTTGATAAGCACAGGATTTCTCGCCAATGCAGGAGACAGCTATGGAGAGACATTGTCTTCTCGGGGCACCCCTGATCGATCGACGGCCTTCTGTGGTCTAGTGTGCTACGCAGTACTTCGTAATAATCGACAACAGGAAAGCCCGTGATGCGATTTGACCCGGACACGTACAAGGATAAGCTTCGCGGTAAAAGATGTCTCCCGGGGCAGGTAGCAAATGCTACTATACAACAATTGCCTACGATGCCACGGCTGGCGTCGGTCGAGCGATCTATTGTGTACCAGAGGAGGGGGTTGCCCCAGCCCGCGGTAAACCCGAGGTCTTGTCCATGCCCTTGTGGTATCTGTCTCGTGTCTCTCAGTATATTCTGCACGGGCGAGGCGAAACACCAAGCTCTTGAAGCAAACAATCCCACCAAACGCAACCCGCACATGGACTGGGACAGTACACAGTCGGCTAGGACCTCAGCCGGGCTGTGCTAGCCTTTCTGAGGGAGGGGGACGCAACGCCGGCACTGGTGGTTACACGAAGCCACCACGCCATCTCGCCGTCTCTGAGATCTGACAGATGCACACTGGCCGATTGCACGAGGCTCATTTGCGGCGGCTTGCGTCGATATTCTGACCTGCTCACCTCCGTGCTGTCTGGCCCAGCCGTGTGCGTGCACCCCCGAGAGAGGTCATCAGGCTTTCGGGATGGAACTCCACGCATACACCTTGTGACCTCGTGACACAATCTGACTTTTGACAGTAGAGTTGCTTGACATGTCTCGGACTGCCACGGAGAGGCGCCACACACCCACACCCGTTCCTCCAAGACACATGCACAAATGCACAAAGCACAGGCAAGACTGCTGCGTTGACAAGCCGGCAGGCCTGGCCAGAACCCACGGGTGGGCAGCCAGATGCTTGCATTACAGGATCGGCCTCGGCAGGAGCAGCCCCATCGCATCAGAGCGGAGCATGTACGGTTGACATGTACGTGACCTGTATCGTGCCGTGCATGCGCCAGGTGCAAGACCAGGCGGCAGCTCGAGAGGACGAGGCGACCTGCCGAAGTCGACCAGCAACAGCGGACTGTGGACGACGGTGGTGTTGCAAGAGGCGGGCCTCGTGAAACTGCCTCCGCTTCAAAAGACAACGTCGTCCCTATCATCATTATGACGAGCCGGGCTTAGCTAGCGCTCCACTAAGCTCAAGCACTCCCCGGGGCACGCCCAAATCACACCCAGAAACGTCCCCAGCTCCCGAAGTTAAGACGATGTTAAGATAGCTCCTAGGTGGTCCCACCTGCGCTAGCGGGGTGGATCGTTGCGGCTAACGACCTGCCATTGCAACCATCATGCGAGATCAGGGAATTGGGCCGGCATGGTTGGTCGCTCCCGGCCTGACTTGCTTGGCATCAGATCGACGAACTCGTTATTTTGTTTCGAGAACGCAGGGCGAGGCCAGCCCGTCGTCGCGTCCCTAGGTTATCAACGACTCGTTGGTGCGGATTACCGCCGGGCGCCCGGGGGGGGGGGGGGGGGGAGTGGTTTTCTCCTCCGCAAGTGAGTGGCATCGAGCCGCCCGCAACTGCAACTCCCGAAACTCACCCGCTACACATATCGACATGGGAGTGTGGGGGCCACGATATCGATAATTGCTCTAGATTATCACCAGAAAGCGAACCACCACCACCCGCTCAAGGGGGGGCCTGATTCAGGTTCGTTGTTGCCGGTGGCATCAGAGTCACCTCAAGAAATACAACACTACGGCCTGGTCATGACTAGCGACTGATTTGCCAGGCTCGCAGCCATCATGATGATGAGGGCTTTTGGAGAAGGATTCACGCCACGACACCACTCGGCGCGGCAGGCAAGGTCAAGTTGCGATCTAACCTGCGCCACGCGATGGAACTACGACGAAGAGGCCGACTTAGTAACCACGCGACTCTGAGGTCTTGGCAAGTAGAAAGCAGCCGCCGTTCGTGAGAACGACCACCAGCCCGCTCGCAACAACTGGAGCTTGCACACACACACACACACACACATGGTTCAGAGTCCTCATCCAGAGCAAAACAGCCAGTGCGTTGCGGATTGCAGAAAGGGGCCACTGCGCCACCTGTATTTCACGCATGAAGCACGCATATTAATCTCATGGCATCGAACCCCAGCGGGTGGCGTCTACCGGCTGGGTTTCGATGCGCGTCGATTGCTCGGATCAGAGAACACCCATAGCCGTTTAACCGTCGAAATTCAACACCAACACCCGTGGTCATGATACGTGTAACTACTGTATAGCCCACGACCAGGACCAACAGTAAACGAATTAGAGCGGGACAGCTGTTGATGCTATGCATGGACTCGACTGGCAATGCAAGGTCATGTCCATTCACACACAGTTTATTCGTCCTGGACATGCAGGCCAGCGTTAGTCCCGCAGTTTGCGTTCCCACGATGCAGCACTCTCGGGCCCCCATGCCCACCATCATGGGCAAGCCTCGTGGGACTCCTGCTCTGTTGCCGGACCCGCGTGTTCCAACTCACAAAGTTTGCTTCTCGATGCCACGACCCGGACCATCTCTCGATCCACACTCCCCACCCCTCCCCTGATCTGATCCCCGTCCCGATCCGTCCCTCCCATCATGAACACATTGAATAGTTGAGGTCTCGCGAACGACAGGTGGTGGATTAGCCATGGGAAATCCTTCTGCTGACAGCTGCTCGGCTCTCCCAATCCGTAGCCGTCATCGCACACCCAAACACTGTGATACCCGAACTTGTGGTCCCCCCCCCACCCAAACTAATTTTCCGTCTGTTGTTTCTGCGGGTGCAAGACATCATGCAGCACGACTGTGGCTTCCTCTGGGGGCGACGCCATCTCATGTACGTAACCGTGGCCACCGCGGACCACTGGCGTCGGCCGAGCCATCGTTGGGTATGCCCTGATGGAGCGGGCGAAGCAAGGAGGGGAGGTTGAACCGGATGCCTGCTTCGGCTTTGAGCTGTCACAAATGGCATGTCTCTGAAATTTTCCCTCCGTATACCCAAAGCCCGTAGTCTGTTCCGCGGCTAGGCCATTAGGGTCAGTCTTTTGAGATGTCCTCTTCGCGAGGTAAGTCCTCGTATCTCTGTGGCGTCGCGTTTGCGACTAACACTGCCGTCTCACAGCATTTTCAGCTCGGCACTGTACGCCATGACGGCTCACGCCTCGACATCATTCATGAGAATTCACATTTTCTCAAGTTTACCCGCGCTACTCATCCCCTCTTGCCTAGAGGACCTCCCGCCGTCCTCGATTCTTCCGGAGTGGCACGCCGCCCCTAACGTCGCCTCTTTTCCCCAAGCTCCGGAGAGGCCGACCAGAGCATGAGATACGAGAATCCTCCCTCCAAAGAGAACAATTATAGTTGGCTTCTGAAAAGTGAAACATCGCGGGAGCAGAGCCGGATTTGGCCCCAGGCACCCCTGCGCGGATGGCGGCTTGCCTCTTCTGGAAGCCGATTGTCGCCGTGACGTTCTACACGCTTGCAGGAGCGACCTAAGCGTTTACGATCCCGCAGAAGACGCGAGAAGTCGAAAAGGGTCCACGCCCCTGGATTCTGCGCCGCCCAGCCAGTCAAGTGGCAGAGCTGCTTGCTCTGTGTATACGGGACTGCTGGCGCTGCGGCAAGCCTGCCGCGTCGTGATACACTTCACCATAATGCCCTTCGAAGTCGGCCTCAACATGTCCTACTGGACAGCAAACCATGGTCGGGCACCAATGGCCTGCTGATGACAAGTATCGCATTCGACTCCGGGTGGACTGTTGCAGCGGGGAAACATCTGAGCACAGGTCTCTGGGGGCACACCCGCCTCTCTGTCTTCCAGACCACTTCTGCCACGAGGCTTGGGACCACGAAAGACCCGCACCGATCCAGTACGCATGTTCGGCCGCGGCTCTACTCTACCGCAAGCGCGGGCTGCCAAGGCGGTCAAAGCCGGGGACTGTCCAAACTGATCTCGGCGGTCCTTGTCGATGCGGCCAGCCACCACAAAATGACAGGGAGCATGCAGGAAGATTCGAGCGGCACAGGGGAACACCTTTGAGTTTCTTGCCTGCTCGAACACCCAATGGTGTTTCGCAGACAAGGGCCATTGATCCCATCCGCCTTGTCGGAGTTGCGTCTGGCCATGAGGGCGACCGGCGCGGGGGTGAAGATGTCTGGGTACGCTGCAGAAAGGCGGCGAGCTCTCCGCCTCCGCCAATGCATGCCATTACCATGTGCATGTTTACAGAGCCGCCACTTCGAATGAGAAATGCGAAGTATATGCGCGTCGGGATCCCACCGGTGAAGGCTCCAGATCAAGGAGTCTGCCGCCGGGCCTACGGGAGTCCCACCGCGCAGTCCCAATTCAGCCGCCAGAAGCGCAGGGGGCGGTTCTCGTGGCCCGCATCAACCCTGGGCTCGGTTATCTGGTAATCTGAGTCGATGACCGCGGCTGAACTCCGTCAATGAGGGGAGAGAAGGAGGCAAAAGAAGAAGGAAAAATAACGGAGGAGTTAAGCGTGTTCAGGACACCGGTGAAGAACTTGCTGCCTCCCAGCAGCCCTCACATTCCTGTCTCAGGTGGGCCTGGAAATTGGCGCTTGCTTCTGCACGTCGGACTACTCGAGCCCTTTACATTGCAGTCGCGTTCAAGATGGGGCTGCCAGAGGCTTTTTTCCTTTTTTGTTCCCTTTACCCCTGTGGGGGGCCAGGGGAGGTGGCCTAGGGGGCGCATACTGCTCGCGTACCCGGAGTGACAGGATCATACAGAAAACCCCAAGTGGAAGAGCCGTCGGGTCACGACACCTTGACATGGTCCGCAAATCAGTCCGGCCTGGAAGATCTGTCATTTTTGCCGTTGCTGAGCCTCGAGGGACAGCAAAGATAGCGAGACCCTGGGGGGGGGGGAGGTTGTCTCGGCCGACCCGCAACCGCTCGCTCCCTCCCATCCCTGCGGCCTCTCCCGTCCCGTCTAGCCCCACAAACCCGCAGATGGATTCTCGATTTGCGGGTCTGGCAAGGACAGGGCCTAACAATGGTTTTCACGCCTTGCATCTTGTCGGTCGCGGCCAACAAAACGAGGCGGAAGGGCTTCTACTATTTGCAGTGATCTGCCAGTCTGTCAGTCAATAGACAAAGGATGAGCAGCGCAGTGCAGCGTCTGAGCGTGCATGTCTGCAGCTCTGCAGCTCTGCAGCAAATATTAGCCGCCACTCACACGCCCTGTCATGGCCAGCCTTGTAGCTGCGAGGAAGCTTCTTGACGTCAGGGGGAGGGTTTCGAGGCTGTCATATTCGACAAAAACCTCCGTAGGGCGTGCGACACTATCGACTCTGGGCAGTATTGATCCCAAGAATGTCAAGCTGGCCCGCTCCCCCCCCCCCTCCCTCGTCAACCCCTTCCCCACTGATTGCGAGCTGGCTGACCACCATCGCTGCAGCTCTGTCCCGGTGCCGAGCCATTGCCTCTTTCGGGGCCGCTGGATGGGACCTTTGAGACAGGCCAGATGGATCGAACGGCAACGCCCAGGAGGAGTGACAGATAGGCATGTTGCATTATGCTTATTAGATCTGGGCCCCACAACTGCCATGCAGAGCATTGGGTAGTCCAGTTCATGAATGGGATGGAGGCATTCCCATACATTATACATGCACACAGGGGCCCGCTGGCGCGCACACACACACACACACACACACACACCCACCGAAGCCACAAACGCACATGCACTCGTACATACATACGCACACACGAAGAAGGAACAAGCGAATCAATGACCATGCAGTGCCCCCGCAGCTCGCCCATGGGCCGATCGAGCAGGGTCCCACATTCGGCATCTCTCAACCAGATGCATGCCCGATTCAGGCTGTTTAGCGGAGCATGTGTTCCGCGGCCCCCCAATCGCGCCCTCGAAGCCCTCCCTTAGCTAATGAGAGGCTGCTGCTATCAGAGAAAACCCGCTGCATGGGAGGGGAGGGGTCACTGTCCCTTGGCCAGAACGTGCCCGCAGGGAGTGGCACAGTTTTAGGCGATCTTTTTTTCACTTGAAGAGGGGGTGGTCAGCACCACCACAGAAACAAGCCCCGAGACACAAGGGGGGGCGGCCGGCCAGGGACATACGCGTTATGATTGCAAGATTACCGCGATGGTGGTAACCAATCAGCGGCGTGACAATACCCCGACGGGAGGGGGAGAAGCCTTATGGGGCCCCTTAAGTTCTGGTGGCATGGCCCCCCTGACTCTTGGGGATTGGATGGGCAATTTGGGGAGAGGATGGCGCTCCAGCAGCGACTGGGGGACCCAACGACAGGGAGATAAGGGGCTCGGCCCATGCAGGGCGTGTGGGATGTGATGGGGAGTGGGGATGCGAAAGATCATTTATCACGAACTGCACCGTCCGGGGTCCGTGTGCCTGTTCCGCCTGTTCCTCTTGTCATGCAAGAGCAATTAGACTACCGCTTCTGGAGCTTCCATCCAGACTCCCTGCGGTCCGGAGATCAGACCACCCCGACGGCTGTGATTTGGTGGGGCGCGGCTCACACAGGCTGCCACGTTGTGAGGAATGAGGGGTGAATGTGAGGTGTCGTTTTCCCACCCCCCTTTGGTGCTTATTCCTTCCTGATGACGTGCCCACCTTGAGCTCGGCCGCCTTGGTCAGTTGTCACCGGGGGGGTGGGGCGCGCGCGCGGGGCTTGTGTAAGCGTTGAGTGGTACTCGCCATGTCGCGGCTCGGCAGATCAAGGGTTGGCGAACACGACGGCGACGGCGTGCAGGTCTGTGATCGATTGTGACCGCGGTCGAGATGCGGTCAGATATTGTCTTGTATGTGCGGCACTCGGTGTGCTGTCGAGGCATGATTGGCCACGGGCCGAGCGGACCAGGACGGTAGAGAGCAAGCCATGGACCGGATATGTTACAACGCCGGGTATCTTCGTCTATAGTCTAGTAAGCTGACATTGCAAACCACCACCCCCCCCCCCAAATGCTGATCGTAATCGTGTGACAGCCATAATTTGTTCCCAAAATCCTTCCCCGTGTCGCACCTTCCATCATGTGACCGCTCGCGCACCTGATCACAACGTCGTCGCCCTGACTTGCCTGCCAAACCCCCTGCCGCCCATGGTCACAGCTCGTGCCCCCTTGCAGCATCGACGTGACCGTCCCGTCGGGCCGCGGCGACGAGCTCGTCGGCCTCGTCCCTCCCCACAAGCTCCACACCGCGCGGGTCAAGCCCCACCCCCCCGGCGAGCTCCTCCGCCCACGCCCGGGCCACGACCTCCGAGTCCAGCCCCGGGACCCCCGTGCCCCCGGCCGCGAGCAGCTCCTCCTGGACGCAGGTCACGCCCTTGCCCGCGATCCCGCACGCGACGAACCGCGCCCAGGGGTTGGTCGCCTCGTCCGTCTCTGCCTCCCCGCGGTGCTGCATGGTGGAGCCTGCGGCGCGCGTGGTGGGCATGTCCAGGTTGAGCGCGGCGCCGAGGCTGCTGACGTGGCGGCGGAGGTGGATGCCCAGGGCGGAGATCTTGCGCACCTCGCCGTCGCCATCTGCGCCCCTTGCCATGCCCCCCGGCGCTGGTGGCGTCCTGACCCACACTCCCGGGTCGCCGGTGGTGAAACCAGCCAGCCCGAAGAGCCGGCGCAGGAGCGAGATGGTGGTGCGCTCCAGCAGGCGCGAGTAGCAGCGCACGGTGAAGTGCTTGTGGCCGAGGGCCCTGGTCGACGAGTTGATCACCATGACGGGCCACAGCACCACCTGGCCCGGCCCGTGGTAGGTTGCCAGGCCGCCGCGGGGCGACGTCAGCACCGAGGGGTGGAAGATGTGCTCGGTGCTTGGCGGATCGGCGGCGTTCTTCTCTCCGCTGGTGGGCGCCAGGCCCTGGGTGTGCTGTGAGTGCGCGGAGGATGACCGGACGTGGAGGGGCGCCTTGAGGCGTGATATCTCTGCTGGTGACAGGGAGGACGGCGCCGGTGATGACGAGTTTGTATGTGTCTGGGCTTGTCGTCGGCCGAGCGTGTATGTGGGCTGCGGGGTGAAGGAGATGAGGGTTGGGTGAGGCGGAGTGAGCCCCTTGCTCGACGGTGACGATGACTCGGCATCCTGGTAGTCCAGCTGGCGCCGTCGCAGCAGCTCTTGCAGGGCGGCTGCTGTCTGGTAGCTCGGGAAGATGCCCTGTGATGGTGACGCGGGGAGGTGGACGTGCCGGAGCCGGACGGGAGGCATGATGCTTCAACTTTTGAGAGACGGTGACTAGATGGGACGGAGGTACGGAGTGATGTGTCATTGGAAATCTCCTTGGGATAACATGATGAACTTGTCATCATCTACAAGTCGTGAGTGGGTTCACAGATCGATCCAACTTGAGTGAGTGAAGCGCTCGAGTCGGGTAAGCAATGGACGGAATGGACTTCACAGTGACGTTTTAGTGATTACATAAGGGCTCCCCTAACCCTGTCTTTGTGGCATCACTCGAGCAGTGATACGCCAACTGTTGCACGCACATCCCTAACCCTGGTTTACAACCACTTCCTAAAATGCTTAAATAGCCAAATTTCTTTTATTTCCTTCTTTTAAATTATTCTTAAGAAATAAATGTTTTTATAATTATGCTTTTAAACCCCTTATAATATTTATAGCTTTTTATAATTATAAGCTTAGTTTACATAAAATAATCTTTTTTTTTATAAGCTATAAATAAGTTATATAAAATATATCTTAATTATATTTATTTTATATTATTTATTTCCTTTTATTTTTAAGCATATATTTATATAATAATTATAAACGCTTCTTTAAACTTTATTAATTAAGTAATTTATTTAAATACCTATTTCTTTTTTACTTAATTCATTATATTATAATTTTATTGCTAAATTAAAAGGTATTAGGAATTTATAAACCTTAATATATTAAATATAGCCCTTATTAAGCAATTAAATATAATTTTAAAACTAGATTTTTAATTTATATAATATAAAAAGAAAAAAAGAAATATTTAAAAGGCTTTATATAATAAATATTAAGAGCGTTTAAGCAATAATAAGCTTTTAAAAGATAAAATAATACTTACTTTATTTTCTTTTTTATTTTTTAATAAATTAAAAAAGGAATATAATTAATATTTTTAATAATAAGTTGCCTTAACTCTTAATAAGGTAATTAAATTTAATAAAAGATAAAAAATTTAAAAATAAATATAAAAAATAATGTTTAGCTTAATTCTTTCTTTATATTTAATTAAAATAATAAATATAAAATAATTCTTTATTTAATAAATAGTTTAAAATATTAAAAATAATTTTATATTTTTTAAGTTAAGCATAATAAATACCCTTTAAACTTAATATTAGCAATATTTAAAAAAAGTAAAAAAACTAAGTATTAAATTATAATAATAATATTAAGATTTTATAAACTTATATTTATAAGTTTATACTTATAAGTTATTTAAGATTAAGGGATTTACTGGTTTAAATAACTTTTTATAAGCAGTTATAATATGCATTACCCTTAATTAAGTAATTTTTAAGTGCTAAGAACTTATTATAAGCTAGCCTTGGGTTGTTTGCTGTAAGGTATTTAAATAAGGTTTATATTTAAAGTGCAAAGAAAAAGATTTACTCCTTATTTATACTTATATTAAAGCTTATTTTTATAAGGATAAAGCCTATTAATTAATTATAATAAGCAAAGCTTAAATTATAATATATCCTCCTTTTTTAAGTCCTTATAATAAGCCTTAAAGAGTAGCTATATAATAAAAAATAAAGAATATTATAATTTAATTATAAATTAAATATTACTCTTTGCTTAGCTATTTAATTATACTTTAATACCTTTTAATTACGCTAAAGGCCTAGCTTATTATTTATAATTAATATGCCTTAATTCTTATAATTTAATATATTAATTAAAGCAAGTTAATAAAAAATAATTATTTAAGCATAAATTAATAACTAAGTTAATAATATTTTTATAATCTTTTAATGCAAGCCTTTTATATAAGCTTTTTTACTTAAAACCTTAAGATTATAAATTTATTATATAATTTATAATTAATTAATACTTAATTATAAGTAATTTACTTTATTAATAAGAATTTCCTAAATTTTAAGTATTTTTATAAAGCTAAATTAGCTAATATATAATTAATTTACTTTAAGTTTAAGCTGGCGCTAAGCTAACATTGCTTTTAAGCCTTACTTTATAAAAAAAATTTTATGCCCCCTTAAATAAACTCCTTTCCCTTATTAATCTTAATTAATAAAAGCTATATCTTTATTTTTTTATAATAGTTAAGGTAATTACGCTTATAGTAATTAAGTTAGCTATATATAAAATACTTAACTTTGCTTATTAAAACTGCTATAATATTAATATTTATTACTTTGCTATTTTAAGATTAAATATTATTTTCCCTTATTATAACATTAAAAACGCCCTTATATTACTATAAGATAAAGTAAAAGGCCTTAAATATATTTAATTATTTCTTATAATTAAGCTAAGCTTTTATTATAAAGGTTAAATTATTAGCTATTAATAATATTTTATACTTATTTAATTAATTTTAAGCCTTTGCTATATAAATTAATTAATTAAATTAAGCAAGAAATTTTGCTATCCTTTCCTTATAGCGCTGCTATAATGTAATTAAGCTAAGCTTAGCATGCTTTTGCTTAAAAGGGTCCTTAAATGCAAGGCAAACCTTTTTTAAAAAGCTTTTTAGCTACCCCTTAAATATCTTTATAAAATTAATATAGGGTAAAAAGTAATTATAAAAAATTTTTAGTTAATTAAATATATAAAAGAATTAAGCCCCTTTAATATTAATTGCCTCCCTATTTATTGCAAACTTAATCCTTATTTTTACTAGCTAAGTTGCTAAGTATTTTTAAAATAAGAATTTCTTTAAATAGGGAAAGGCTTAATAAGCTGCCATTATTCTTTTTAAATCTTGCTATATTAAGTTTTATATAATTATATTATAAGTTTATAATATAAGAGGACTTTAAATATATATTATAGGCTAGCTTTAAGTTATTTATTATAAGGTGTTTAAATAGGGTTTATATTTAAAGTGTAAAGGAAAAGGTTTATTCCTTATTTATACTTACGCTAAAGCTTATTTTTATAAGGGCAAAGCCTATTAATTAATTACAATGGGTAAAGCTTAAACCGTAACATAACTTATTAAATAAAATGCATTAAGAAAACCTATTTATTCCTTAAAAACCTTATTTAAAGGATTAACAATATTCTTATATTATAATAAGCTTATATTAACCTTTAAAAATATTGCAATATTTATTATATTAAAATTAAAAGTACCTTTTAAAATAAAAAGTAATTAATTAAGAAAGTAATTAAGAAATAAAAATGCATTATCTTAATTATATTAATAAAATAAAATATATAAATACCCTTATTAAAAAACTAATTAATAAAAGAAATATATTTAGCCTTTTATTAATTATTATTACCTTTATTTTATGCTTTTAAGGGAATAAATTTTAAAGTTAAAAATACCTTTAAGGAAACTTAAATATAATAAGATTAAAATATAATTATAAGAAAATTGCTATAAGAACTTAATTTAAAAGCTTACTTAAAAAAACCTTTTGTTTAAAGATTAAATATAAAGCTTATTAAGAATATTAAAAACCTCCTTAAGTGTATTTTTAAAAGTTATTAAGGGATAATATCTTAATTTTTTCTTTTTATTTTATTTTTTCTTATAAAATAAACTTATGCTTTTTTAAATCTTAATTTTAAAAAATTAATTAATTAATAATACCTTTACTATAGTTTTATTAACTTTTTATTAATTTATTTATGCTTTAATTAATTTATTATAATTATTAATTATAATTAATTCCTTAAAAATATATATAACCTTAAATTTTATATTATATTCTTTATTCTTAAGTATAATCTTAAATAATTATAGCGTTATTTACTTTATTAACTTTATTAATTATTTAGTTTTAAGTACCTTTAAAAAAGCTATTAAAATAAATATTATTAAAGTAAAAACTTTATTTTTAAAGGTTTTAGGCTATAAAATAAGGTTTTTTAAAAATATATTATATAAAGTAAATAAAAAAAAGATTAAGGATTTAATTTTAAAAAATATAATAATTATAAATAAATTTTATATTAATATAATATTAAAAGCGCTTTTATAAAAATTAAGCGTTTAATATTATAAAATTAATTTAATGCTATATTTTAAATTACTTAAATAAAGCATTATTCTTTTTAAACTTATTTAATAATATAATTTAGTTTTTCTTAAATATATATTATTATAGTTTTCTTATTTTTATCTTTTATTATAAATATTTATAAGCATTATAAGCATATATAGGCTTATAATGTTTTTAATAAACTTAATAAAACCTTTTAAGCCCTTTTAGCACTTAAATAAAAACTAAAAAAACTTAATAACTTTTTAGCATTTTTAATTTAAATATTTAAGGGCTAATGCTTTTAAATTGTTAATTTAATATATTTAAGGCGTAAAATTTAAGGGAATTAAATAAATTAATTATAAGAATTGCTTTAAAGCCTTTATTAAAAAGGTAGTTTAACATGGGTTATTAAAAGGCAAGAACTTAAAACCCTTTTTTTAAATTTTATGGAACTTCTTTTACTATTTATAAGCATTAAATAGGTTAAATTATAAGCTTATAATAATAAATAAGTTTTTAAGATTTATTTATATTTTCTCCCTTATATTAAAGACTTAAAAATAAGTATTTAATATTCTTTAAGCTTATAAAAATTAAGTAAAATGGTAATATAATTTAAATATTTATAAAATTAAATAAAATGCTAAGGTAGTAATAATTAGCTAATTTATAAATATTAAATATATTAAATAGATAAAACGAAAAGGTATTAATTTAAAACTTGCTCCCCCTTAAACCTTAAAAGCAAATAACGTTATAAAAAGGGCTAGCAAAGCAATAATTAAATATATTTTAGTTATATTATTAAGGGCTAATTTACCTTTTAACCTTTAGCTAAAGGCAATATAGGCTATAGCTTGGTTATATAATATATTACTTGCTTTAAGAAAAAAGGGGCGCGCCTTAAATACTTTTTTATATATATGGTTTTTTTATTATTTTTAATGATTTAAATTAACATAAATTTACCATTTTATAACTTATTTATTGCCCTATTAAGATAATATTTATACTTATAAGTATAAAGCATATATGCTTAGAAAAGAACGTAAAAATAATATAAAGAAATGCCTTATAAAGGGGGAATTAAGGGCTTATATTAAGTATTTAATTAATTATATAACATTTAATATTTTTTAAATTTAAATTCCCTTGCTTAAGTAAATAATCTTTATAAGGAATATATAATTTAATAAGGATATATTTTATAAATTAACAATAAATAAAATAAAAAATAGCCTTTTAATTCTTAAAGTAAAATCATTAAATATTAAAATTATTAATGCTAAAGAAATTTAAGATTATATTTACATTATACCCTTAATACCCTATGCAAAAAACAACTTAATTAATTTAAATAATAAATTTAATATTCATTTTATATTAAGAAAAGATAAAATTAATACTTTTAATTAAAACTTAAAGATAAGAACTCTTAAATTTAAAAGGTAAAGTTTGCTATATATTACCTTTTTAAAAAGCTTAGGAAATTAAGAATAAGGACTTTTAACCCTTAAAAAAACCCTAAATATACTAAAATAAGGCTTTTATAAAAAAAATATACTTTTATTAATAAAGCAAGGGTTAATAAACTTAAACCTTCTTTTTAAGAATTATGCATATTTAAAGTTATAAGAAATTAAAAATCCTCTTAATTAATATAAATAAGGAAGATATAGGAATAAATTTAAGGGTTTAAACTTATAAAAAGATCTTCTTAAGTGCATAATTAAAATAAATACCCTTAAAAATCCTTTAACTAACCATTATATTTAATAAATATAATTATATTTTACTTTAATATAACTTTTTAAAGTAACTTTATAATTACTTTCTTACTTAATTAACTTAAAAGATAAAAATAAAGAATATTTAAGGACTTATATTTTTTAACCTTAAATAATATAATAATAACTGCTATTTAAGCCCTTAAAATTAAATTTAAGCCTTATTTATAACAGCAATATTATAAAAATCTACCTTTAAAACTAACCATATAAAGAAAGGCTTAAAAAAGCCCTTTTTAAAATAAATAGCTTAAGGCAATATATTAAGAAATGCAAAGCCTTATTAAGCTTAATATTTAAAGGATTATTAAGCGTTAAAAAGCAAAATTAATATCGCTACCCTTAAAATAAATATATAAATATAAGCTTAATAAGAATGAAATAATTAAATCTTTTAAGGTGTAAATTTATATTTAAGGAAACCTATAACCTTATTTTACTATAAAAAGCATATATATTATAATCTTAACTATAAAATCATTTTATATAATAATAATAATTATTATGCATTTTAATTTAAAGATTTAATAATTTAACATTATAATTACATTCTTAAACGCTAGCTAAGAAGAGTTAAATTAAATTTATTATAAACTGCTTAATAAATTTAAAAAGTTAAGGAAATATAAAATGCTCTTAAGAGTACTTTATAAACTTAAAGACTCTTTATTTTTTTAATATAAAGATTTTAACTATATATTACAAAATTTAAGCTTAAAACTTTTATTAAAAAAGCCATGCCTTTTTATTAACTTAGCTTATAAAGTAATAATCCTCTTTTATATAAATAATATTTTAATTATATATCTTAAGAATAAATGCAATTCCTTTATAAAGATTAAAAATAAGATTAAGTTTGCATATAAAATAAAGAATTAAGGAAAGGCTTAGTAATTTTTAAATATATAAATTTTTAAAGATTAAGAAAAGTACATTATAATGCTTCTTTATAACTTATATATTAAAAAGATAATAAATAAATATAACTTATTAAGGAGTAAAAACTTTTTATTATTTACTTTAATGCTTAAAGAAAAGCTTAAGCCTTTTTTTAAATAAGCCTTAAAATAAAAGATTTAAAAATTTTAAGAAAAAGTTAATTCCATCCTTTATATAATAATTATAATATACTTAAATATAATATTTCCTTACTTTATATTATTAAGATTCTTTATAAACCTAAGTTTAAGTTACCTTAAGGTAGTAAATTATATAATTTAATATTTATATATTATTTAATTCCTTAAATTATAATTTAAAGGGAATTAAAAAGCTTAAGCACTTTTAATAATTAAAAATGCTTTATTTATTAATAATAAGAAGGATTAAAGATCTTCCTAAGGATATATAATAACCCTTTTTAAAGGCCTTATATATTAAAAAATATATAAATAAGCAATTATTTTTACTTTAACTATTAAGGTTAAATTATTAACTTTAAAGCTTATAGCTAAAGAAATAATAGCTTTAAAACGCTTATTTAAAAATATAACCTTAAATTTAAGCAAGCCTTAAATTATTTATTATAATAATTAAATAACAATATACTTAATTATTAATAAGCATAAATAGTTAAAAATAAGGCTTAAACATATAAATATTTAATAAATATAATTAAAATAGGAATTTAAAAAGAGTACCTTTAATATTATATACTTAAAAACTAAAAAGATACCTATAAATAAACTTATTAAAGTTTTATTATATATTTAATTTAAATATTTTAAAGCTTTTTTAAATTTTTAAAATATAAGGAAAGTAATAAAAAAATTTAATTTATTTATTAATTATTCTTATTATTAAGTTTTTATTAAAAATCTTAAAAACTATACTTTTTAAAAATTATAATATAACCTTTATATAAAAATTATTTTATAATTAAAAACTATTTTTTAATCTTTATAATAATATATTAATTAATTTAAAACCTTTTTTTAATTAATATAATAACCTTTTAACTTTTTTAAAAAACTTTCTTAACCTTTAATTAAATTCCTAATTATAATTTTAAATTAAAATTTAACTATATTTACTCCTTAATATTACTCTTAAAATTAAAGCACTTAATTATAATAATAATATATCTTTTATATTTTTTTATAGTTTTTTTATATTATTAATAACTTAGTTTTAAAGCTTTTAAGCTTTTATATTAAACTTATTATATTATTTTAAAATAATTATAATTTAAGCTTTAAAGCGCTTTATTATATCCTTATATCCACTTTTTATAGCCTTTATAAGCTATTATTATAAGATAAAAAGCTTTTAAGTATTAAAAGGAATTATAAAAATGCAATTAACATAAATAGGATTAAACTCCTTATGCTTATATATATTTAAGGCCTCCTTTTAAATATACCAAGACTTTTTAAGCATTAAGAAATTGCTAAACTAAATATAATAAAGATAAAATATAAATAATAAAAGAATTATTAAAAATAGCTTATAAGAATTACCTTAAATATAATAATAATAATAATTACCTTTATTATTATAATTTATATAAAAATTATTATTATAATTATATATAAAATTCTTAATATAAAAAAGATAAAGAATATAATGTTTATTAATTTTCTTAAGCTTTTTTATATCCTTCTTCTTTTCTTTATACTTTATTTTAGCCTTTTTCTTAAAAAGGAGTTTTATCTTAAGCTTTAAGTTATTTATATATGCTTAAAAGTTTTTTAAAGCTATATTAAGAATTAATATATGCTTTAAAATTAATTTTTAAATTAATTAAGAAACTTACTTTTAAGCATATTATTTAGCAATATCTTAATAAAAGTATTAAAGCTTTTGCCATTTTTATTAATAAGCTTCTTATTAATTTAAATGCGCTTATATTTCTTTTTTTAAATTTTAAAAATATAAAAAGGTAAAATAGCTTAAGGCTTAAAAGCCTGTTTTTTATTACTTTTAGCTATTTTTAATATAATTAAAAAGGTACTTAAAATTAATAAAAGTAGGTATTTTTAAATATAAATTTAATTAAAAAGTTTAAAAAAAAAGGTTTAATTATTAATTGCAAGCTATATTATAAGGCTATAGGCGGCTAAAGTTTAAGTAATAAAGTATATATATTATAAGAAAGGTTAAATAATTAACTGCTTAGCGGGCTATAGCTAATGTTTTTAAGTGTAAATTAGCTGCTTAAAAAAGTAGGGCAGTTAATAGGGCAGGAATTGCCTTTTAATTAAAGGGTATATTGCATGCATATCCCTAACCTTGGTTTATAATTACTTCCTGGAATACTTAAATAGCTAGATTTCTTTTGTTTCCTCCTTTTAAACTACTCTTAGGAGATAGATATTTTTATAATTATGCTTTTAAACCCCTCACGATACTTATAGCCTTCCACACCAACAGGCCTGGGAGTCTGGACAGTACGAATAGATGGTATCTGGTCGACTTGAATCCGCCACAAGAACCTTGTAATCCTGAAGTTTCTAGGTTCGGCCAATCTAAGATCGACCAGATATCCAAAAGCCATGGCCACCGAGAGCGAACGCTTCGCACTCGCGCGTGCAGCACTCGGCGATGACCCCTCCCGTTCAGCACCCGCCCTGTTTGCCTATGGCTCACTCATGATAGACGAGGTTATCGCAACCCTGCTGGACCGTGTGCCTGGGAATGAGCCCGCAAAAGCCCCGGGATACCGCGTGTCTCAGCTCCCGGACCAGTCATACCCGGGGCTCGTTCACGACGAGTCTTGTGAGGCTCATGGTCGCATCTAGTAAGGACTCAACGGCCTTGACACTTCAATCGGAAGCTCAGAGTCACTGACGTGTCTAAAGTTGTGGACTCGGCCCCAAAGAGTGGGCAATCTTGGATGCTTTCGAAAACCCTCTATACGAGGTGCAGGTGGTGACACTAGCGGATGGACAGAAGGCGCTGGCTTATGTGTGGACCGTGGATCTTCTAGTAGGGGCAGCGGGGTGGACAACTGCATCCATGGACGGTGCTGTACTGGAGGAGTACTTGAGGTGGACGAAAGCCTGGCGCGAGGACTACGACGGGGAGATCAAAGCATCCTGAGAAGTCTTTCCGCCCAATGATCGGGCGGAACTGCCTTTTAGATTTGTATCCAGAAATGAGGGCAAAGACATCGGCAACGATTCACGGCTGATAAATTCTCAAATTCCAAAACTCCGATACCTTTAATTAACAGTCTAGTCTCTCTAACGGGTACTTTACTTACATCCAAAAACTCCAAGTTAACGAACTCAAACAGCCACGCTACTCACAGCAGCCCCCTTACGCTGAGTAGCATCGGGTGCAGGCATAATGAGACTTGCACTGCCAGCAAGCCGGGCCGACCAACGGATTGGTGACCTCGCAAATGCAACAGATCCAGGCATTGCGAGGCACCTTCTGCGCCTGGATCTCGGCCACCGACTTGTCGGCCTTGGGCTCCGGGCGCGGCGTGGGAGTGAAGCGAGTATTAGATGGGCCCTTGGCCTCGTCCTCCTGCTCAGCAAACTTTTTTGCGAGAGGAGAGCTGCTGTCCGGTCGGGCAGTCTGAGGAATATCAAGGGAGGCCGCCTCAAAGGGGTTTACACCGCGGGCCTCGTCCGAGTCGATGAAGAACTTGGACGTCTCCGCGTCAAGGTTCTTGTTTGAGTTGTTTGCCATGTTCCTGAGTCTTTGGACAAATTGTTGGATCTGTCTGTGGAGGTTCCTGAACATGAACAGGTGTCTGTTTGGAGATTGATGGTTCGGAATGAAAGCCAAACTGGAGATTTATTATGGCGAAATTTATATATGTGTGTGCTTCTCTGACTGAAACACCTCAGCCAGCCAGATCCTTTATGGGAGCTCACAACTGGAAACAATGCTTGCATGGGCTGGCGGCAGCGGCGGCAGTGTGACAAGGCCCTCTTTGTAATTCTCAGACTTTCTCTGAATGGCATTATCACACAATCATGCCGCATTGTGTTGTAGGAAAAGCATTGAACCGAACCTCGCCGCCAATGACAAAGGCCTGTGACTGAGCTCGGGTAGTGATGTGGGTGTCAGTGTAGATCACAGGGAGTTGGCCCTGCGTCAACCGGCTGGGACCAGGCATATTCACTTCTTCCCATCTCCTTAGGGGAGCCATTGTCAACTAAGGTTTTCCAAAATGCAGACTTCCAACCTCCAGTGTCTAATACACCATGCCGAGCTGAGAAAACAACCCGGGCTCTAGTTTCAAGGTTGACTTTAACAGAAGTCGGCACTCAATGACTTAAAGGAAGAGGCCAGGTCATCTCTCATAGCGTTTATAACCTGGAAGACCATTTCTTCCACCATATTACAATGGCAGAGAGATCATACCCCTTATCCCTCCCAGCCCAATAACCCAACCCTGCCGCCACGGTCAGGACCACGCCTGGTAACAGCTTCTTCAACATGCCCAGAGCGACCATCTTCAAGAACATGTTCTGTCGCGCTGCAACACGGGCCACATGATCCTTCCTCTTGTTCGCATGCGGGAATGGCACCTCTGGCACTGACTTGCCCAGGAACTCGCACAGCGGGCCCCAGCCATCCTCGACCTTATACTCCAGCAGGCGGCCCTCTGGCGCGGCAGCCCTGACCTCCGCGTAATGCCTGTGATAACGCTCCCTCGCCTTGCGTCTGATCCCCCCCACGCTCGCGGCCTCGTAGTACCCCAACATGATCTTGCGGATCGTCAGCCCGCCCTGCAAGCCCTTGAGCCGCCCGATCACGTCCATGATCAGGAAGGCGCGCCATCCCCACGTCGTGCTCCAGATGGCCTCCTCCATGCTGGCGTACCACGAGTCGACGTCCCGCTCGACGAGGATGACCTTGGCCTCCGGGTAGGCCTCCATCAGGGGAAGGGCGAAGAAGGACGCGATGTCGGTCGCGCCCTCGTACTTGCCGAACACCTGGTCCCAGTCGGCGCGGGTGAATGGCGCGCCCGTGTAGGTCGGCAGGCTTGGGAAGAAGGAGTCGGCCGCCCGCGACAGGACCGGCCAGTCGCTTGCGTTGCCGACGTCCTTGACGCCGTGGTGTATGTTGTTGTACCCCAGGATGGTGAGAGCTTGCGCTATAGAGGAGGAGCCTGTGCTGGCATGTCAGGACGGGGCGGGCGTGGGTCGGAGTGAGCTTGTGGCATGTTGTTTACCTGTTCTCGTCATGCCGAGGGAGAGAATCTGCATCGGCTTGATGGTTCCGGTGCCTGGGGGCTCGTGGATTAATGACGCTGGTTGTGCCATCTTGGAGAGTCTTGTGCTGTTCGTTATCACGGCCTGTACAGGGGCAGGCCCATGGGGATCGAGATTGGTGGGTAGGTGAGCGTCGTCGTTTTAGACAAGGCGCGAGGTCTGGTTATGTTTGAGACCATGATCTTCACCATGATAAGCCTCGCCATCCCGACGCCCTCGTGTCCCAAGTCGCGTATCCACTGCCTCGGTGATGGTGGCATGGATGACGGCCGACAAGCTGGGAGGCTGTGGTCACCGTGTGTGATGCTTCCCGCGTGACAACGTGCTGTTTATGGGACATCCTATTCGTTAGCAGACTGTCCTCTTTTGGAAGAGGGGAGTTCCGGCCGATTTGCCAGTTAAGTGAGCCGTGTTCGAAGTCAGCCGGCGTCCCCTGGTAGCAAATCCCAGCTTCGATGGGCTCCAGGTCCAGCACGAGTCAGAGTGTCGGGGGACTATCTATCTTCTCTCCGGTCGAGTCATGCCTCTCAATTGGTATTGTGGATAGTAGATCAACCGTCGCGGGTGCGTGGCAGGAAGCAATGAATCAATTGGACAACTGCAGAAGCGGCATGTTTGAGGCTTGGTCACCTTCTTTGCTTTCTGCTCGTCAGGTGGGGTCGTCATGAAAGAGCCCCGGCACTTGCCCCATGGAGTGTTGTTGAATCAAAGCACAGATACTGTGCAGAACACTGATAGTCGGTGCCAAGATATGCACAGTAGAGCCGCATAGTTGTTCGTCTCGGCAATAAAGTCAGGCAAAAAGTATCAGTTTGGTGTTGTCAACATCACGGGCGCGTCACTAGGGGCCCAACTTGCAGAAATGGCAGCGGCCTCTGCGGTGTTCGGCCCTGTGCAGGCGTACCTGCCCTCCGTGAGCAGCAGCAGCATTTTGATGGGCCTCCTGCTACTTGTGAGTTGTCAACGACTACCTCAATTCGACAACAAGTGGCACTCGCACGCTAACAGCAATAATCACAGCTCATTGCCCGCCTCTTCGTGGTCAACGTTGTTTACAATCTCTTCCTCCACCCTCTGTCGTCCTATCCAGGCCCGAAACTCTGGGCGACATCCCGCCTGCCGTGGAATTACTTCAACTTCAGAGGGCGGCTTGGCTGGCGCATACGCGACCTCCACAACCAGTACGGCCCTGTCGTCCGCATCGCCCCCAATGAGTTGTCGTACACCACATCGAGTGCCTGGAGGAAGATCTACGGCCAGCGCTCCCCTGAGTTCGAAAAGGCCGTGGACGGGCGTGGCATCGCGCCCGTCGAGATCAACGGCAAGAGGGCGCTCATGACCGAGACTTCGGAGGGCCACGCCAGGCTCAGGAAGGCCATCAACCCGGCATTCAGCGAGAGGGCCGTGAGGGGCCAGGAGAAGTACCTGCAGGCACACTCCGACACCCTTCTCACCCAGCTGCTCAAGAGCTGCAAGCAGGGCCCGGCCGATATGGCCAAGTGGTTCAATCTTCTGTCCTACGACGTGATCACCGGCAAGTAGCACCATCTATGTTGCCGGAGGCGTCGCTGACCGTGAGCTATTAGAGCTTGCCTTTGGCACCACCGCGAACTGCCTCAACCAGGCAGACCAGCCACATCTCCAAGTGCTCGGGAATCGGGCCAAGTCGGTCGTGTTCTTCCAGTTCGCCCTGCAGTACGGCCTGATTTCCGTCCTGCAATTCCTGACGCCCAAGTACGCCCGCGAGGCCCGCCGCAAACACCTCGCCCTGTCAGCAGCCAAGGTCCAGGCGCGCCTCCAGGCGAAGGACCCCGGCAAGGACTTCATGCACTACATCCTCGAGAACCAGGAGGAGAAGTTTTCCAGCCTCGACCTGACGCTGCTAGCGAGCACCTTCATCGTGGCCGGGAGCAACACCACTTCGGACACCATGACGGGTCTGACGTATCTGCTGTTGCGTAACCCCGACAAGATGGCGTGCCTGAAGCGGGAGATTCGCTCCATGTTTCGATCCAAGGACGAGATCACCATGCAGTCCACCGTGCACTGCAGGTACCTTACCGCTTGCCTCGAGGAGTCTATGCGCCTGCGCCCGGCCTTGTGCTGTTCGCTTGCCCGGACGGTGCCTGACAACGGCGAGATCATTGACGGCCAGTTCGTCCCCGGTGGAACTGGGGTGGGCGTCCACATGCTGGCCGCTGCCCATTCGGGGCTCAACTTCAGGCACCCCATGGATTTCGTCCCGGAGAGGTGGCTAGAGCTACCGCCAGACTCCGAGTTTGGGGGTGACGACAAGGGTGGAAGTCAACCGTTTTCGCATGGGCTGAGATCATGCGCAGGAAAAGCGTGAGTTCTTGGCTGTGCAAAATTGTTAGACCTGGGACAAATGCTGACTTTACTCCCATGCAGGCTTGCGTGGGTTGAGATGCGTATCACCATGGCCAAGCTCCTGTGGCATTTCGACTTTGAGCTCGCGAGCCCGGACGAGGACTGGTGGAATAAGCAGCGCACATATCTCATCTGGGAGCGCCTTCCGTTGATGATCAACTTAAGACCGAGCACGGCATGAGCTAGCCCAATGTGTATAGCTCTCGACCGGACTCCGGAGCCAATCAATCATGGTAATGATGCCGCAAATGCTAGCCGCAAGAATGTACAACGCGAGCTGGTGTTTCATTTCATAGGCATCGACTGGGACGCAGACCGTGTGGGATTGGTGGAGGTCAAACGAGGTCTCCTCTCGAAACAGGGAAGCAATCTGGCTGTCGACCCTGAAATCCGACGTCACGGGCTCGTCTTCCATGGGCTCTTATGGACAAGCTTCGAGCTGACGTTGTCGTGTTCCGGCCCTGAGTGTTTCGAGGGACAACTCACTCGGCCTTCCCCGAAGATCAGCCTCTTCCGTGGTAGAGTTCCGTTCCTGATACACAAGTGCAAGAGCTCGATGCAGAGAATATTTCCTGGCATAGTCGAAACGATCAAGCCTTGCACAACCGCCCGTCCTCAGAAACCACCCAGCCATCGCTCCCGACAGCAACGCCGCAGTAAAAAAGCCCCTCTGGATCCCAAATGCGCTTGATAGACAGAAGCTTGTCGTAGTTAGTCCCATAAAATACCTCCTTCCAGTTGGGCTGCCGAAAGTCTCCCTCGTTGATGTATGTCCCCATGCCGGGAGTCACCTCCTCGATAGCAGGTTGCAAGACATCCGTGATGAGGTCTAGTCCCCCAAACACGTCGGCCCACGGGTCCTCAAAGCTGAAAGGGACCTCAAGCGACGCCGAGACAATGGCGTCACGCCACGCAGGCAGCACCGCATTCTCGCCGCCACCGAACGGCCCCACGTTCGTACCGACACCAATAAATATACCGCCCTCGTCGGCAATAGTGCGCGCCGTGGCAGAGAGGTTTTCCAGCTGGGACCGTGAGATCAGCCGGCCGCCAAAGTTGGCCGTGCCAACCTGAATCCAGCCATCTGGCAACGGGCCCCAGTAGGCGCTGTAGTGGTCATAGTAGGTTGGGTTCTCGGTATAGTTGACGCCGTGGCGGAGGCCCAGGTCCCCCAGGGCTGAGAGGAAGGGCTGCATGGCCTGCTCGAGCTCTGCTTGCGTCTTGTTGTAGGCCGTCAGGGCGGAGATGCTGAGGTATTCAGTCGTGAAGTAGTAGATCACCATGGTGCCGAAGTCAACCAGCCCTGGGAGGGCAGCGTGGAACGCATCCACCGCTTCGAAGACCCGGTCGGTCGAGTTGCCGTTGTCGGACTTTTCCACGGAGAGTTTAAGGCCGCTGACGGTGGCTTCTGGGTAGGTCTTGACTGTGAGAGACACAACGACGCCGTAGTTTCCGGCGCCACCTCCACTGTGCAGATGTCAGCGGCTGATCTCCAAATTGTACGACATGAGGGCTTATGAACATACCTTAGGGCCCAGTATAGGTCAGAGTGCTCCGTCTTGGAAGCAGTGACAAGCTCACCACTGGCGGTGACAACCTCGAATGACAGCGTCTGGTCTGCGGCGAGTCCGAAATTCGTGCTTAGAGCAGAGTGACCACCGCTTTGTGTGTAGCCCCCAGCCACGCCCACCGTGGGACACTCTCCTCCCACAGCAACACGACCGAGCGCGGTCGCAGCCTGCAGCATCTCATACCCTTGAACTCCTGCCCCTAGCTTGAGAGCCGTGCCAGTGAAGTCTGCGTCGTCCCACTGGACCGGTTTGATAGCCCTCAGGTGGTGAGTCCAGACCGCAAGGGCCCCGGCGCCGGTGGAACGGCCCAGGTAGTCATGGCCAGTATTCCGGATGACCAGGCGGGCGTTCTTCTTCCGGGCGAAGTTGACAGCGGCAGCAATGTGCTCGGAGCCAGTGGCGTTAACGGCATAACGTACATATGTGCCCAGCTCACATGGCCGCTCACGCGGAGTCCACGGGTCACAGCTCTGGTTGGCGAAGAACGGGGCCATCACGCTAGAGCTTGAGTTGAGGCTGTGGTAGTTCATTAGATGAGGGCTTCGTAGCAACAGAGACGGCCCACCGGTAGACTTACTGGATGCCCGCATAGAGCCATTGCTCCCGGAGGTATGCACACTGATCTTCATCGTAGTAGGGGTCGTGACAAGGGGAACCGAGCGGAACCGTGGCGATGAGTCGGCCCCCTACCGTGGCGTTCAGGGACGACCACTCGGCATCAGACGGCCAGCACTCGTCTCCAGGGAAGCACCTGCAGAATGACTCAGCCGTATCGCCCGGGTTGCGCTGGTGCACCGGAGGAATCGGCTTCTGTTCGAATGTCGAGACCGCTGCGGCAACATGAGCCGTCAGCAGGGTCGTGAGGACAGAGAATCGGTGCATGCTGAATATCCCAGTGCTTAGTCTGGCCAGGACTTGGTCCACACACAACAAATGTATGAGGCCGCAGCGAGACGTTGGTCAGTGTCGTTTACTATTGTCCCGCCAGCCGGGGAAGTTAACCATGTCTATGCATGGTCAAGTCTAGCTGTAAGACGACTTGGGTGTTGGAGATTTCTGTTGGTCCGCAATTGGAGAGAAGGATTTGGTGGGTCGACATAAGCCACTGCAGCAAAAGAGACCAGGGTCTTGAACGACCTCCTCGGCATCTGCAACGCACATTCAACTATCCACCACTTTTCACGACCAACACGCTTTTTCACTCCCGGGGTTAGATGTATCGATCGACTTCTGCGGTTTCCCGTTGGGGGATGATTCCGGATTCTCGGCTCATCCCGAGTCTCAGACGTCCACCAACCAACATACACTTTGACGCTGATACAAAAGCCCGCCTCCATGCAAGACTTAGGAAAGACTGTGGCGGAATTTCTCCTCGAGTCTTATAGCTATCAAGTACAGCCACACGTCTTTGCGAGCTGTTTGAAGAGGTGTTCGTTGGACACTGGGTGTTTAGCCGGCAGACTCGAAGCCCAAACTTCTAAGTCTAGCGGGCAGTATGTTCACAGGCAAAACTGGTCTGCAACAGGTTCACGTTCGGAGGTGTTCGGGCGACAGTGAGCTAAGGTGCAAGGTCTTGCAGTATCAGGCTTTCGTTCTCTCCTCCCGCTTTCCCGCACACCCTCCAAAGAGACAATCCACCTTCCTCGATGCTTCAGCTCCCTCGAGTGACTCATTCCTGCCCGTGCCATGCCGTGTCACTCCAGCGCAGGATACACCTCCGTTGAAATCTCTAACCCTGTCCTACATAATCTTGGCTCACATAAACTGTACTCTCGTGCCCTAATCCCTTTGGCAATGCCTAAAAACATTCATTTTCTCTTGAATCAATGCTTTCTCTGGTAATAGCGAAATTCCGAAGGCAAGGTGTCGGTTTACCTGAGGCTGGCGATACGCACGGAACTCCTATTACTCACAGAAGCAGACCATCTGCAAGATACTTACTGATATCCACTTATGGCAGTGTGAGCTAGTGAGACTAGTAGGACATAGTTGAACGTCTTTCCAGACTTATATCACGCCACCACGGCCTCTAAAGGGCTCGTCACACATAAGTTTTCCCCCGGCATGCCCACCGCCACATACCCAGCCTCTCCCAGGTGGCTGAAGGGCCCAAACCAAACTTTGACCCCAGTATATAAGTTAGATAATGTTGTGTTGTCAGGCCAGTAGTGTAGGTGGTTGCACGCCCGGATTTTCTAACTCCTGTGCTAAAGTCGCAGAGACTGTGGTGCGGGCAGGGGCGTTTGGCCCCTAAGGGCCCTAGATAGGCAATTTTTAGCTCCAAAGGTAAACTTAAACCTATTTAAGCAATACACATCCCAAATCCCCTAAATTACTTGCATTATTAATAGTATAATATATCTTCTTATATAAGTTAAAGAGTTTTATAAAGGTTCTGCTAAGACCTGCATTAAAAGAGCCTATCCTTTAATTTAAATCCTGAAATTAAAATTAAGCGTAAGCTAAATAACCTGCATAATAAGAATAAACCAACTAAGCCCCTAAGTTTAAACAAAGCTAAAGCTTATACCATTAAAACAGCGCCGCATTAAGTTTACGCTATTATATTAACCAAATCATTAAACTCCTTAAATTTACCTGCCTTACTTTCTTTATTTCTATATATCTTTAAGTTAAGGTAGCAAAGTTTCGCCTAACTAAGTACATACCCTTCCCTTAAGCAGCAAATCCAAATTTCAAAATTATAATTTAAAAAGTAAATTAATAAACTAATTATACTTGCTATATACCTTAATTCACAACTTCCTTAAGGATTTTATTACCCTATTAATGCTAAGAATAAAGCGGCTTATATTAATAAAGGCATAAAGCATATTAAGAAGCCTTATTAAGGTTGGAAATATTATTAAGGAAATGGATAAAAATTAATAACTTAAACTTTAAATTATTATCACTAAACCCAAATCCAGAATTTAAAAACCCTATCCCAAAGCTTGCTTCTTTATCATTGCAAAAAAAACTTTAAAATTGCCTAAACCTAAATAATTCCTTTCTTAGCCATTTAATATTAAATTATAATAGCTTGCTTAAATTTAAAACCTTTTTATTATATTTAATAAAACCCTTAAACCATTTCATTATATTTCCTTCTTTTATTAATACCTTTTTAAAACTTTTAGGAAAGAGCCTAAAGGAATATATTAATAATATAAAGTTATATAGCATAAAGGTAGCACCTAATAATAAAACCTTTAAGGTTTAAGAAATAAGGGCGGCTTTTTATTTTAAGTTAAAGGGTATGGCTAGGATTAATTAATACTTAAAACTTGCTTTAAATAAATAAGCCTAGCCTAAAGTTTCTACTCTTTTTAAGAATTGCTTTTAAATAAGAATTATTAACCCAAATTATAAAGTTAAGACTTAAGTATATACCTTTGCTTATAAGTTCATAAAATTAATTTTAAAGTATATGCATTAAGCTATTAAGCTATCCTATTAATATAAGGAAAAACAATCTTAAGAGTTAATTTACTAGCTATTTTCTTACCTTTCCAATTAAAAGGGCGGCAAACTTTATAATAAAAGCTAAAAGATTTAAGAGTTAATCATAACTTAATTATATGTAAATAAGAAGATAAGAAATAATAACATTTTAATTAAGGAATGTATATTTAATAAGGTTTATTAATACATTATTAACTATTACCTTCCACTTAATGCTAAGATAAACCTTTTCTTAAAAAACGGGGCAATAAGTAAAGCTTTTATAAATTAAGATTAAGTTATAAGCTAAATAATAAATATCATAAAAACAATGCATAATTAAATTATAAAAATATAGTTAACGCTAAGCTTACCAGCTTATTTTATTATAAATTAAAGATTTAACCATAATGCTTAATAAAGTGCGGGATAATAATCATAAATTAAAGCAATAAATTAAGAATAAAACTTAGCGGGTAAGCCTACTTATATCCCTTTAGGTTAAAATAATTAAGCATAGCAATTATTAATTTAAGGTAGCTATATAAGCCAAGGCTTTATATAAGGAGGATAAGGTAATTATAGCATTTTTTACTTTTAGGCAAAAAGTTAAAGTTTTATATAAATATGCTATAATTATAATAAGAAAGGATATAATATTTAAGCTTACCTTTATCTTAACTAATTATTTAATTAAATTAATAAAATTAAGGCAAAAATTAAGGCTAGAAAGCCTATTCTTAATAATTTATGCCTCCTTAAATATATAGCTTAAGCTTAAGCCTAAGTTATAAAAATACTTATTAAAATATTATTGCTAAAGGATCCCTTAAAATTAAGGGAAGTAATAAATAGCATGCTTAATGTATAAAAAGCATAAACTTAAATAAAGAAGGAAGTTTACTTATTAGCAGCTAAAAATAAGCGGATTTAAATTAAGGCCTTGCTAGGAAATAATAAGCATTTATATAAGGCTTACCAGCTCGCCACCTTATTCACGTTAAAAAGTGCAATATAACCCAATTCCTTATATTTAATAAGAAATAAAAACCTAAAGGCAAAGAAATGCTAAGAAACCTTAATAAAGCTTAAGGAAATATTTAAGAAAACCTTAATAAGTAAATTAAATTAAAAGGCCCTTAAGGAAACTATTCCCATTTAAGGAATTAATAAATAAAATGGCAATAAATTTAATATTAAGTTTTTATTATAAGGTATAAAAGTTAAGTTAAGTTTAGCTTAATTCTTAAACTAATTCCCCTTATTAAAAACTTAAATAATATATAAGCTAAGTACTTAATTTAATAAATATTAAAGATATTAATTTAAAGAAAAGAAAGGTAAGAAAAAGGTTATAAGTATAGCTAAAAAGCTAATATATTATAATAAGTCCTTCTTTAAAATTAAAACTTTAATTTTAAGGTATATTAAGAGTAATATAACTAGCATTAATATAAACTAACTTATGATAAATAATAGTTTCCTAGGAAAACTAATTAAATTAAAGATAATATAACGTCTTAACTTAATTATAAAAAAGGTTAAATAAGAAATGTACCTTAAGTTAGCTAATAATTTAATGGCCCTTATTTATTATTATATTAATGTCTTTATTATAATTAAAGGGATTTTAATTATATATTAAGCTTATATTATTAAGAATAATAATATTTATAATATAATATTAAGTTAAACTTAATTATAAAGAAATTAAGTAATTATTAATTATAACTTAAGTATATTAACCTTAAAGGATTAAATAAGTATTAAAAGCATTATAAAGTTTACTAAGGCAAACTCCTTTATACTTAAACTATTAAAACTAAATTAAAAGGGCTTAAAGAAAGGTAATAAAGATAATTCCTTAAATAATAAAAGTAATTTCTTAAATAAAAATAATAAGTTTTTAATAAATTCATGTTATATTAAGTTAATAACCCTTTTAGTTAATATAAAATTAATAAAGATATTAAAATATAATAAGAATATTAAGATATAAAATAATAATAAGTCCTTAATATAAATTTAAAATAATAAGGTAAAAAACGGATTAGTAACCTCCAGCCTTAAGAAAATTTACTAAACTTAATTTATAAAAAGGGGCGGAGTATTTTTAAATGCATTTAGTTTATAAACTTAGTTAAGTATATTAATTGCTTGCCATTTTAAGATTATAATTAAATAATTAAGCTATTATTCCTTATTATTAAATCTGGATTAAAAATTATAATAATGGCATTTACCTTATTAATATTATTAATATATATCCTTATAAATAAAAAGAAAGCTTGTAATGCAGCAAGCTTATATTTAATTAATTAATTATTAAAGATAAATAAGCCTTAATAGGGTTAAAAAGAAGATAATGGTGGGATTATAGCACTAGCCTTAACTTTAAATAATAAGAATGAAATAATAAAGGAGGAAAATTAATTAGC